AAAGAAAGTCAAGATATCAAAAATTAAATTTTGACTTTAGTCTATTCTCAGTTTATGGTGTTGGGGCCAGGATGTTTCAAACTGTCGTTAATGACCTAGCTTGTGCAGTGTGCACCCAAATAAACTAGACATTGATTGCTTAAATGTAAGAACATACCAAATGAGTATCATTTCCCTCTTTGTAATTGCTGGACAGAATTAAAAGTTGATATACAAAAAATTAACTTAATAATTAAAAGGCATATTTTTAGTTGTAATACATTTCAAATGTCAAAAGGACAAGTTCACATTAATTGAATAACAGAAGAAACTTTATAGCATTTCTTTATTGGCATGTTAGGGTGATGCTCAAGCACACAAGGAAAAAAAAACAATGAATAGTTGCTAGTAAATTTCCACTGTCCAAAAAGAAAAAAAAAACTCATGTGGGTAGGATGGATATTTTAAGCACACCAGAAAGAAAAAATAAACAATGTTTACAGCTAGGAACTGCTTATCTGTTCATATGCCATAATCATTTCATTGACAAACTTTTTCAAAAAATTAAAAAGACTTTCTTCATAAACTGAGTAACCTATTATAGTGTATAGACTGACAAAAAATAGGTGAGACCTATAAAATAGATTTATATGTTCTCTACAACATTGTACAAAAATCATAATTTCTCTTCCAGTGAAAACAAAGGTTTTAGACATCAGAGAAGAATCATATGTTTATGTACCAGTAGTTCAGGTAGCATGTAGCATTAAGTACTAATTTGTGGATGGACAGTGTCTACTAGCAACTATGTCTTACAACAACAGTATTTTACCTTCATTTTCACAAATCCAACTATCAAAAAGATTTAAAGTATACATTTCTGACAGTGCTGCTGAAAAGAATCAAAAAAACATTTCTGGGTAAACAGAACACTGTATCATGCTGGTACGGGGGTACAAAAAGCAACAAAATTAATCCTATTGCAGGAACAGCCCAACATGCACTGACTACTCTAATATTATCACAGAATGCAAGTTTCACCATATTGGAACATAAAAAACTGTATTACAATCCATAATTAGAGTGGAAATCTGTACAGACTAATGGATTTACACACTTTTATACTGGAAATTCATGCATATCATAAATACATGTATACAACTGGAAGTAAAATTTTTCACTTGTTTAAACATTCAATATCATTGTATCAAAACTTGGAAATTTATCCCCAACAAAACTTACTTATAATAAATTTATTAAAAATGATTCATTTTCTGCAAACACACCTTTCTAAAACAATATGGCGTAAACACTGTTAGTCTTATCATACTAAAGAGCAAACAGTGCTTTTCCTAGTAAACTGTTCCAAATCTGTCCTTACTGAAACAATCTTTTCCATCACCCATTATCGAAATGTAAAATGGGAAACTTAAAAAGAAATATATAAGCTGAACTCAACATTAACCCTCACTTCAAAATTTGCAGAATCCTTTGTCAGAATTCTTTATCAAAAGTTTACTTTGATGGTGCACATTCCCCATCCCTTTTTTGAGATAAACTTGAATATATATTAAACAAGTCTTAAATGTTGCAAAGAAGGAAATGACTTACAAATTAATCATTTTTCTGATTGTATGATTTGATTTCATCTATATCCTCAAAACATGAAACAAGAAGCCCATGGGCCACAACACTCACCTGAGTGACTTTCACCATTCTTTTCTTCATTTGCAGATTTCTTCCTTAAATATTAGTATGTAAAACTTTGATCTCTTACTGCAACCCTCCATACCTCCTGTGGGGTCATGATTTGAAAAAAAATGAATCTATACAACATGGGGATGCTATATGACAAATCATGGCTACTCTTGAGAAGAAGATTTTAAAGATTTTTCTTAAATATTCCTAGTATGTAAAACATTCAACACCCATCGTTGCCCCTCCCTTCCCCAACGGATCATGATTTGAACAAACTACCCTTCCCCTGAGGGTCATGATTTGAATGAACTTGAAATTACACAAAAGACTATGTCAGAAACCTTTCAGATAAGTTTCATCTTTTCTGACTCAGTGGTTCTTGATTAAAAGATTTTCAAATAACTCCACCCAATTTTCAGTATTTTTTTTAATTATCTTCCCTTAAAAAGAGGGCACTCCCCTTCATTTGAAGAAATATGAATTCCTTCACCCAAGAATACTCTTTGCCAAGTTTGGTTGAAATTGGCTAAGTGGTTCTGGAGAAGAAGATGAAAATGTGAAAAGTGTATGATGATGACAACACCAACAACAAAGACAGACAATGGACAAATTTTGATCAGAAAAGCCTTTGGCTCAGGTGAGCTAAAAATATGTCAAAGTTGACTGGCATACAGAGAGTGATGGTGACTTCTAACATCAAAATCACTCAAAATGTTGATAATCACAAATTTGGTTTGTTTAAAAGAAAAAGAGCACTTGTTTTCATTTTTATATTTTCCTCTAATAAAGCATTCCTGTCAGCATAGTCAAATTTCTAGTATTCTGACATCCACTATAGATTTAATTAATTCTTCAACAATAAATCTTTCACAATCCAACACAAACTTTCCAATCAGTACACAAATTCTTACTTTTATCAGCACTTCATGTTGAAAACATTCTTGTTAAATGGGTAGACATTTTTAGCAATAATTTGAATTTTCATACAATGCTGTGAAACTTCAAAATTAACATAGCATTGCCTTTTGATGATAGACATGCTCACACTGAATAAACTCCATGGAATTAAAATTACTTTTCAAATGCTGAAACAGTATATCTATTATACAAGTCTTTGACAGGTTGACTCTACACAATTTTGTCACTGCTTTAAGAAAATCCATATTCTCAGTGAAATTGTCTACAAATGTCTGACTAACACAGCATCACAAATAAATAACGGTACCTTAAACCTATTACATACATTTTGATTTTTCTTCAACAAACAAACTAAAAAATCAAATAAACAGAGGACATTCAAAACCAAAACAAGAGGCCCAGGGGCCACATCGCTCACCTGAGCACTATGGCTAGGAAAAAGCAGAAATCACTTCAATCTTGAAAGGTTGAAAAGTTTAAATATAAAAGTGGTTGGGGGGGGGGGGGGGAGGGGGGTGTCATGAATTGAAAAAATTTGAATCTACATTATCTGAGGATGCTTCCATTTAAATATGACCAATCATGGCTTTGCTGTTCTTGAGTAGAAGATTTTTAAAGATTTAACCTATGTATTCCTATGTAAAACTTTGATCACCCATTGTGGCCCCACCCGACCCCCAGGGGTCATGTTTGAACAAACTTGAATGTACACTATCTAAGAATGCTTCCATATAAATATGACCAATCATGGCTTTGCTATTCTTAACAAATAATTTTTTTTTAAAGATTTTTACTATGTGTTCCAATGTAAAACTTTGATCGCCCATTGTGGCCCCACCCGACCCCCGGGGGTCATGATTCGAACAAATTTGTATGTACACTATCTGAGGATGCTACCATATAAATATGACCAATCATGGCTTTGCTATTCTTAACAAATCGTTTTTTTTTTTTTTTTTTTTAGAATTTTTACTATATGTGTTCCTATGTAAAACTTTGATCGCCCATTGTGGCCCCACCCGACCCCCGGCGGTCATGATTTGTACAAACTTGAATCTACACTACCTGAGGATGCTTTCATGTAAATATGACCAATTATGACTTTGCTGTTCTTGAGAAGAAGATTTTTAAAGATTTTTCCTATATATTCCTATGTAAAACTTTGATCGCCCATTGTGGCCCCACCCTACCCTCGGGGGTCATGACTTGAACAAATTTGAATCTACACTACCTGAGGATGCTTCCAAGTAAATATGACCAATCATGGCTTTGCTGTTCTTGAGAAGAAGATTTTTGAAGATTTTTCCTATATATTCCTATGTAAAACTTTGATCGCCCATTGTGGCCCCACCCGACCCCCGGCGGTCATGATTTGAACAAACTTGAATCTACACTATCTGAGAATGCTACCATATAAATATGACCAATTATGGCTTTGCTGTTCTTGAGAAGAAGATTTTTAAAGATTTTTCCTGTATATTTCCTATGTAAAACTTTGATCGCCCATTGCGGCCCCACCCTACCCCCGGGGGTCACGATTTGAACAAATTTGAATCTACACTACCTGAGGATGCTTCCACATAAGTTTCATGTTTTCAAGCACAGTGGTTATTGAGAAGAAGATCTTTTAATGATGCCATTAATTTTTCACGAATTCTTAATTATCTCCCCTTGGAAGAAGGCGTGGCCCTTTATTTGCACAAACTTGAATCCCCTTTACCCAAGGATACTTTGTGGCAAGTTTGGTTGAAATTGGCCCAATGGTTCTTGAGAAGAAGTCGAAAATGTGAAAAGTTTACAGACGGACAGACGGACTACAGACAAAATGTGATCAGAAAAGCTCACTTGAGCCTTCGGCTCAGGTGAGCTAAAAAGGTGTATTGCTACAGTTCATGCATCCAAATGGAATGATTTTGTATAGTTTTGATTCTAAAATAAAGCACATATTAACAAATGTAAATCAAGAAATCAATTCAAATTTAATCGGTTTTGGGTTTTTTGGTTTTTTAAAAGGTTAAATTTACAAGTTGTTAAAATCCTAGATATGCCGAAAAAAGGATTACCTAAAAATAAATTATTTATACCAAATGTACTCCATATATTGTAATTAAATAGTATTTTAGACCATAATAAGAACATACAGAATGATAAGCATTCTTTCTTTAATATCTCTGTATAATTCTGTGTTTTATCCAAATATATGAAATTTTCTCAAACTTTCAATTTAAGAAGTAAAAAAAGTAATGAATAATATAATTCAAGTCACAACAATTTTCTTACAAAAAATTTAATAGAATAAAGTTTTATTTGGTGTTAGAGATTTATGAGTCTCTTTATTTTCCCTTTTTTACATACAATACTTATATTCCAATAACCATGATAATGGGCAAAAATTTTTGATACCACCATTGTCATCAATGCATAAGAATAAAGGATTCCAGTTTTTGAGGAATATGACCTTTAAATGGGATATTACATTTAACAATCTTACGTGCTGATAAACATTGTAAAGATAAATAATTCAGTGGAGATACAATATCATTTATACTCATTCCTCTAATCAGTTGCATAGCTGTTTTCCTATCTCCGTTGCACATGTCTAAATGACAACCATTCTTCAGCAATGTACGGATCACTTCTGACCGGCAAGGTCGATTAGCTGCAGCCACATGCAGAGGAGAATTTTTATCAACGTCCACAGCATTCACATTAGCACCAACTTCAATAAGAAGCTGAGCAACTTCAGCTGAGGGAAAGGAACAAACAGGATATCGTCCAACATTGGTGGTATCTTTTGAACAGGCCAGATGAAGGGGGGTATAGCCTTTGGTGCCTCGCGGATTCATCTGAACTAGTTTGTAAACAACTTGTTTCAGTTCATGTTCTTCTTCTGGTTTCAAAGACTTCTGAAGACGACACATTAAACACAGAATATGCATTATTATGATAAGGAGTTTGTTGAAGTGACTTAAATCCCGTTCGGGAATAGACATCTTCATCAGGTGATCCTGACCTTGTCCTAATTCCTTGATAGCCCGTAAAAGAACATCCATAATATCACGAAATGCTACAGGATGAGCAGGTCGATTTCTCCACTCAGTCGTCATGAAGGAAAAAAGTTCAGCGAAAGACAAGAAACTGCTCTGAGTCATTGGGCTGAGAGCCTCCAACACATTTTGCTGCATGTCTAAGGCATACATCCATAGCATAATACAGCGATCGAAATTCCCCATGTCTGCATACAGAGCCCCTCGATATCTGATGTAGTACGAGGTGTCTGGATGGGCTGGGCCAAGTATCCTCTCACGTACAAGTAATGCTTGCATTCTCATGTTATCTGGATCTGATGCAAGTTCATCTAGTTGCTCTAATGACACCACTTCTTTAGCATTTTCATATGCAGGAACTTGAGAACCAGATGAAGGTTTGGGCACTGGGGAATGAGGAATTGAAAATCTCTCTTCCATTGCAGATCTCCAGAAACTAATTGCACCCAGCATGTCTCTCTTTTTATCAACATAGGTTGCTCCTAAAAGTTCTAGGGCATCAATTTTTTCTTGCCTATCACAGTCGTGTCTGGTGATGAGGTATTCAACTATTTTTGAATAACCTGCTACACTGGCTGCAAGTAAAGGAGTCATGCCATATGCATCTTTTTCCATCACTGCACTGTATTTGAGCAGCATTTTCATTATATCCAGACTTCCTGATTCAGCACAATCATGCAAGGCTGTGTTGCCTACAAATTTTTTTTTTTTAAAAATCAGTTTCCTTAATTTATAATTAAGATATTAATCAACTTGTCTAACATTTGAAATCATGAGTAAACTAAGATTTTAACCAAAATCATAATTTGTAACTTTTCGTAATACATTTTTGGAACATGTGTATATTAATAATATGATCATTTAACTTTCTGGAAAAGATGGTACATGTAGGCTCTAAAAAATGTCAGTGTTTTAACATTATCTGAACACTGTTCTCTAAACTTACAATCAAGGTTTCTTTGCCCTGACAGTTACACCTTGCCATCGTTTACATTACTGGTAGTGAGAAACCTTACCATCATTTATATTAGGCCAAACAAAAAAATATGTGTGGTTCCGGTTACACCTCCAAAAAAATTAGGGTAGGTAGGTAGGGATTTTTTTTTTTTTTTTTTTTTTTTTTTTAACAAAATGATTTTCTTAATTTTCTAAATAATACCTATTACTGCTTTGCAAATGACATTTAGATGTGGTGTGATAATATACACTGTACTAGTCAATATTGGTAGGGGACACGGTCACACCTACGTGCTAGCTTGCTTTGGATTTAACACTATTAAACACTTGCACTATGTTGTGCAAGGAGGCCATCATTGCTAAAACTTAAACCAGAGCCATTGATGAAAATCGGGGAAAATTCCGGAAAAAATATGAAAATTGCCAAAAAAAAGTTTAGGGTCGGGGTATAAAATAGGGACAGTCGGGTAACCGGAACCAAACCTATTTTTTTATTTGGCCTTACTGGTAGTTTTTTCAGATTAAGGTCAGACGATACGTTCCTCAAATGTCTGTTTTGTATACCTTCGAATTATTTGGAAAATATTCAAAATTTTAATTACCTTCTGATTTCTAAACTGGTTTCTAATTGTCTTTAAAAAATGAAACACCAAAAAAATGTGTTATTGGCTAATTAAGTTTTTTCCAAAGGGATTTTATAGGAAAAACATCCTCTGGTATCTTGCACAAATGCCTGGTAAGGTACCTCAATTTTTTGCGAGTAAACATGTTAAAGTAGCAATACTTCAATGACAAAATCTTAGAAAAAATTATATATTATTGAGGAACGTATCGTCTGTCCTTAAGCAAATATGGGTTTGTTGTAGACATGAAATCATTATACTCATCGGACATCCTTACATCAAAATGACATGTTCTAGGAATAAAATACTATTATGCAAAGTACAAAACAAAACACGCAAGAGACCCCTGTATATTTGAAAGTGTGACAGTTCAAGAAACACATTGTCTTGCGCATCTTGTCACTTTTACAGTTCATTCAACTATAAGGACATTTCTTCTATAGATTCTGAATATTGATCAATTTCAAATAATTGAGAGACTTAAGAGCAACAGTATTAATTCTAAAATTTAAAAAATAAATTGATACCTTTATGGTATAAGGGCTTATTAATGCTCAAACAAATTTTGCTCTCTTTTTTTTTTTGATTTTTGCAGTCAATATGTGTTTGATATTGGACTTGAATTAGTCAACATCCATAATTCAATGAATGTGGATCACAGCTATCACACATGGATTTTTTACTTGTAATATTTCAGTTATCAAAAGTACGTATGATAGGAATTAATTTAACAAATCCAAAAAATGTGCTGGAAATGAAATAATTGATCATAATTAGTAAAATCAAAATTTTTCATGCTGTCATTTTTCTAGTTCCAAATACCCTAACAAACAATAGAAATATTTAATTTCTTTCTTTTTCTTGTAGACAACATTCACATTCTTAAGGTCAGATGAAACGTTCCTCAATAATATATAATTTTTCCCAATACTTTGTCATTGAAGTATTTCTACTTTAACAAGTTTCCTCACAAAAAATTGAGGTACCTCAACAGGCATTTGTGGAAGGTGATGATGATGGTGTTTCCTATATAATCCTTTTGGAAATGACTTGAATTGCTTATATCACAATTTTTTAGTCTTTATTTAAAAGCTATTTCAAAAACAGTTTAGAAATAGCAAGATAACAATAATATTAAATAATTTTGGTAAATTTCAGAGAGACACAAAAGCAGATATTTGAGGCACGTGTTGTCTGACCTTAAGAGCTATCTCTCTCTGTCAGCGTAATGATCATTTTTCTCACTATATCTTTTCTATCTTACCTATAGATATTTTAAACCTTCAAACACATTCAATTTTGTAGTGTTCCTGTATTGCCATAGTATGGGTCATCAAAGATAACATAATGAACACATACTTTCAGACTTGATTTGTAAGATACTGACCCATTAAGTTCATAATATTATGGAAAGAAAAAAGTTGGTTATGCCCATTGACCCCCCATTGACCCCGCAAAGAGAAAAAAGTTGTGTAAATAAAAAAGTTGTTACCGGTAATTCCAGATTTTGTTGTTTTCTAACTCTCTGTATCCAATGAAGATATAAAAAATTGTTTGAATTTATTTCAACTATCAGTGTTTTTCATGATCCAAATTCACAGCTGAACGGAAGTAGTTTTCCCTAGAAAATAAGGTCATTTTCTCCAAAAATGAACTTTAATTTTCCTAATTGTTAAATTCCTTCTTGAAATGGATGAAAAAGACTATTTTCAAAAATAAAATATGAGTAAAAAAACATAAACTACAATAATAGTTTTATGCAGGTCAATCACTGTTCAGGGCAGATATTTTCAATTTTGCTTCCCTAAATTAAAATTTCTTCTGGAGGTATAAAATATAATAAGACTACATCTGAATCTCAAGGTACAGATATATGCGATGTGTGCCAAAAGTGAAAATAATTTAATTTTTTTTTCTATATATTTCATTGAAAACAACATTTTGTAAAATCACTGGAATGACATTATTCTCTTGACAGATTTGATTACAATTCGATTATCCAAGAAATCGTTATGTTTGATAAAAAAATAGTTTTTATCTGATCAGGATTGATATTTCAAAAATATCATGAATATTGTAATTTAAGTGTGACATGAAAATTTAAGTCATACACGCACATTGAATTATATAGTCAACATTGATCTTGAATTTTAGAACTGATGTAAATGATGAACTATCTTTTTCTTAAAACTAAATATGTAATGATCTTTTAGAAAAAGATTACTACACATTTTCTGGTTTAAGTACTGAAATAAATAATAAAATTGGACAAAAATTTGCCATTTACCAGAGATCTAACGATATGTAGTTTTCAATAAAATATATAGAGAAAAAATAAAATTATCTTCACTTTTGGCACAGCTCTGGTACCCAGACTACTCAGTCAAACAAACCAGATTTTTCAACCAAATAATGCCTGAATACATTACCTGCACCCTTGATTCATTTGGAACTAGTCAAATGATTAACGTTAGTAGTTGAATTATGTTAACATGGTTAAATTACTTAAATATTTATTTTTGAACTTATCCCACCTTTAACACTCTTTCTGTTAACATCAGCACCAAGTTCTAGCAGATATTTTGCAATCTCTTTATGTCCCTTATAGCAGGATATCATTAAACATGTATGACCATGTCTGTTTGCTATTTCTATGTCTGCTTTATGTTCAACTAAAAACTTGACTATTTCAATATGTCCATCAAAACAGGCTGCTCTTAGAGGTGTGGAATTTGTAAAAGTTGTTTTGTTGACTCCTGATCCTCTATCGACTAGATATTTCACGATTGGAGTGTGACCTGCAGCAGCAGCACACCACAGTGGTGGTGCCCCCTCAATTGTTTCTCCGTCAAAGGTCACACATCCCACTTGTTCCAGGTCGGCTTTACACAAGTCCAGCAGATACTTGACGACATCAAGGTGCCCGTTACGACACGCCATGATAAGAGGGGTGGCTCCATTTGTTTTGGCATGCACTAGTTTGACGACTTCGTCTTTAGACTTGTGGTCCAAAAAGATTTTTAAACGGTTTATTTTGCCGTCTCGTGCGGCATTGTAAACGACATTGCGATATTCCATCACCTTCAGCTGAGTTTATTTATGGTTGGTTCTTTCACAAGACAGAGAGGGTCCCTTACTCGTCGAAATGATGGGACAGGGAATGGTATGGTTCTTCTGGTGTCATTTTGTTGGACAAATATGGCGACGACAGGAACTGAAAGAGGTCGCTTTGGTTTTTCGAAGGGGGAAAACTCGCGCTCGTTCAACAGAAGGGCGGATTTAATTTTTTTTTAAATACCAAACACATTCATGATTCATTGATAAAGTATCTTTCTGTAATTGGTTATCCTGTCCTAAAACAAAATAATATCCTGTCCTAAAACAAATAAAAAAAATAAAAGTAATAATAATAAAAAACATAAACAATGACAAGCAAGGCTAAAAAAAATAATAATAATAATAAAAAAAAATTAAAAAAAAAAATAAAAAAATAAATAAATAAATAAATAAAACGATAGAATTTAGATAGATTTATATAGGAACTAATTTATAAAGGTATAACAAAAACTTTTTATCAATGAAAAAAAGGTGAATTAAAGAAAAAAATCATTCAAAACTATAGAAAATTTGGAAAAAGCTAACAGACAAAAGTTCACAACCAAATTATGCACAGAGTAATTAAAATTAAAACAAAATAAAAAAAAAAGAAGAAGTTATATTTATAAGTCAATGGTCCATTTTTGTCTACAGAGAGTTTTGTGGGAAAATTACAAAATTTATCATTCTTTGTTTTATGCAATACATGTGTATAACAGTATATTTTTAGTGCTAAAGTTTTTGAAAGAGACGACGAGTTTTTTAGGGAAAATTTTTATAAAGTTATGGCGTCCTTTTTACCATTGTTATGTAAAAAAAATTGATGTTGACTGATAAATGTACAAAACGTAATTATAAGGGTACTGACATGACGAATTTAAAGCCTATGTACAGTGCTTCTTTTCAAAATGGAATACAAAAATATCTTTGAGAAATGGAGTCGAACGATATTTTATAAGTGTGTTTTTTAAAAGGAATATCTTTAACTCTGCTGTCTAGTGATTACAGTTTAAATTTAGAATTTTGCATAGAACACTACCTGTAAAAAAAGAAAATAATATTTGTACGTTCTGCAACAATGAATGTGAAATTATTAATTCTGCATGTACTTTTCATGTGCAAAGATATTGTATTGCACATATATGTTCAAAGATAAATTGTATTGCACATGCATATTTGGAATGATCTCAGTATAAAACTACATCAAAACGTGAAGGTTTTAATGTTCAAAATGTAATTTTTGGAGATTTTTTACTTCTGAATTCAAACCTAAGTCATAAACTTTATAATCGTATATGCTAAACAGTATTTTTTCCACTACATTTAAAAAGTTATACATGTAAAATACCAAATATACATGGACTTCCGGTAATAGGTTATTTGGAAATGTTTTATATCGATATATATGTATCATGTTGAAAAATACATAGCTGTTGAAATTTTTATTGCTGATAAATTTGAGTCTGTATGGGCACACTGGAAAAAATATCTTGAAAATGTACTTATCTAAAAATAAGATGCATGTTAAGAAACGAAGACTGCATACACTTTTTCTCTACATCGAGTGTAAAAATATTGACTATTGACTATGTTAGCATGAGTAAAGAGCGCAAGCTGTTGTGTCTGAAAAGTATCTGGTCAATATATTTATAGTCTAGTATGTATCAAGAGCACAGAAATAAAGTATTATAAAAATAAGATGTGTTTGTGAAACACTAATGCCCCCGTATGGTAGATCAGGGCAAAGGTTAAAGATTCTCAAATGCAAGTCAAACTCCAAGGTCAAGATCAAGAGATCAAAAGTCTTGGTACCCAAAGAAAGGTCCTTTAGGATGAGAACTTAAATCCCAAGGTCCCGTTTCATGGTAGGCGTTGGCATGATAAAGGACCCTCACTGCTCAATGGCCCTGAGTGCCAAGTAGGGGTCTAAATTTTAAGCCCTTAACGGACATACACTGACGTCTCTATATGAGTAAAAAATTCTCGATTTTGGACGTTAAACAACATACTATGAATCAATTGCCTGAACATTACTATGGTGCGTGATATATAACGTACGTTATATAAGGTGCATGATGTATACAACTGAACTAATGCATTTTATATGATTTTTTTTATATTTTACCCTAGTTTACATATTTGTGTGCAGTGTGTTCATAAATAGGGTATGATTTTGTACCTATCTGTATATTACATGTATGTTCTATGCATAGTAGGCCCGTAGGAAGCATTTTCAGTTGTTTTTGTTGTTGTTGTTGTTGTTTTTTTTTTTTTTTTTTTTGAGGAGTGGTGGTTGGGGGGGGGGGGGCAAATATTTTCAGTTTATGGGAGAACTAGTTACCAAAATTTCTTTGACAAGTGAAAAAGAAGTCGTCTGGCGTTATTATTGAGGGGAGGGGGGCACAAACATAAAGTAACTACGAGTATATATAGGATACTACATATGTATATATCGGCAAAATTATTGGGGGGAGGGGGGAGCTGGCACGTCAAATATCAAAATCGTTAAATTTATTATCGTCATATATTTCAGACTATCATACGACGTGGGTCTCTATAGATCCAGAATTAATTTAAAAATATTTTACATGCATATAATTATATCTCCGCGGTGCATCAATTTATTTTCATTTACACATGCATGTGTCTTTGTACAGGAAGAAAAGTTAAGCATCACTGACTTCAAAACACATTAATTAAAAGAACCGATTGAAATTATTATACTAAAGATTACAGATGCGTGATCTGTGTAGCTTAGTGTGTAAATATACTGATATCTACTTCATTTTAACAGCTATGAGAGAGTATTATTTTAAAAAACTAATTTTTTTTTATCTTCCTTCAATCTCTAACCGTAGAATGCTTGACTTCTATACATTGTATTCCATGTTTGTCTGGTTATGAATACTTTGGGGGTTCAGTTATCTGATTTTTCTTAAGTATCCCCCCGGGGAATGACCAACATAATCAAATTCCGGAACTATAATCCCCTTTACCCTTGCTTTCCCCATAGTTCTCGTTACTTTATACTGTGTCAAGTTCATGATTGAAGTTATTGCCTAGTAGACGTATGCCAGGAGTATATACATGGTCTGCTTTTGCAGGGTCCATTCAATTTCATTGTTTTGGGGCCTACATACATAAATGATAGAAACAGACCAGAAACTCATGCCAGTACGAAAATGTCGATTTTCTGTTTGCCTTTGTTTGCCATAAAATGTTTGCAGAGGAACCAGACAATAAGGTGAAAAGTGTGCGCTTTACTAGGTAAGACCGGTCAACAATCGATTCGAGGTTTATAACAATGTTTGATACAGTATTATTATTGAGATTAATTATATCATATGATATAATCGGATTGGAATTTAAGAGTTTTGTTTACTGTATATTTCATTTTTTGATAAGTGGCATATCGCTGCATGTTTTTGTTCATCTTAGAAAAAAGTATGATTACAGTCATAATATTTTCCGGTCTTTCTTTCAAAGAAAAATATTTTAAGAGGAATTTTATAAGAGTTGACTTCTTTTTAATTCATATCCTTATGTGCAATATATCTGGATATAGGACCGACGCTTCATGATGAATCTCTGGTTGATTAGCATTCTATAACTAGTTTTTGGGTGTTTGTTTGTTTTCGACTGGAATTTAACGATCTTATTCAAATTATGTCACAGCGACATAATAAAATAAATGATGAACATGAATTAAGAATACGTATACGTACTTAACTTGAATTTAGATTGGGAATATACCTGGGCCCACCCCAACCCCAACAAGTGCACCTGAACCCCCCCAAATTAAAATTGATAATTTAAATTTCATTCTCCCTTCCTCCGTCAGATTTCATTCAATGAAATATATATTACCAGATAAAACATGTAAAACACAGGCTAATCCTTAGATCCGTGCCCTGATCTTGATCTAAGTCTTACAATTTCCAAGCGTCTAATCGACCTAGAATCATTAACATTATGGACGATGGGATCAAGGACCGAAAACACCACAGTTAATTTATGGTATCTTACAGCTTTATATCAGCGTTTAATCAATTGAAATTAAAAGGACTAAATCGTAGTATGTAGTCTAGGCTTTTGAAAGCCCAAAACCTTGCTAATTTAATTGTTTTCAATTTGTGCTTTGTTTAGGTGTTGAAACATCAAACATTTGTGTACATGCGGAATAGATGAAATATAAGTGTTAATGATTTTTTATGACGCTGTTTGTGCATTTGGCGTAGGGATGTGAATAATTAGAATGATGACACTAAGCTAAAATGACGGCATTTTATCCATCATATCCGAGAAAAGGCAAAACATTGAACTGTAGAACTTGTTGAAGAAGGGAAAAACTAAGGTCCTATGAATAATTAATGCAGCTCGTGTTCTATTGATTTTTTGTGTTAAAGCACAGTTTATCAATTAATGTTGTAGATAGAATAGACATAGATGTGTTGAATTAATGGAAGAGAATATTAGGAAATTAGTGCCCAAGAATCACCATGATCACTGGTTTCTTTGATGTCTATTCTCTTGAGAAGTGAACAAGCTTTCACCTACATTTACATGGGTGTAGGTGAAAGATTGTCCTTTTTTTCTAAAGAGAATCCTTAGATATCATGCATGATATTGTCTGGTGTTTAGGAGGATTAACAGTGTTAATACAAGAAAGAAAAAAAAAAAAACAGGTACTGTTGTGAAAATAGTTGTTAATTTTCAAAAGAGAAAAAATATGTTTCAAATTTCTACTGGTTATCTTTTAGAATTTTTGGCAAATGGGCATTAGGAACTAAATTGCATTGTTATCATGATGCGATAAATGTGATTTATAATAATCATTTTAATACTATATATCCTACTATGTTTCCTGTTAAATAAATATAAATTGATTCCTTACAAAATCAATAAACCATATACCGGTAAACAAGGAAAAAAGATAGGTACATGTTTTTACCCCCCCCCCCCCCAATAAAAAAAAACTATATAAAAAAGCCTGAAAAACATAGATTTGTGTGAAGAATGTGCTGGAATACCCTAGTTGATTACTTAAAAACTCTAAAATGCCAGAAAGACAGATATTTTTAAAGAGGGTGCTAGTGTACCCAAATGAATCACAAGTCTTTCAGTTCATGTTAAAGTATGTATGTACATTGAAAGTCTATTTACAAAGATTGATATATATTGATTGTCATTCATCTGTTTCATCTGCTTTTGTAGTGAGCATGAAAACGACAAACTTTTAACAGTTGGAAATGATGATAACTTGAACAAGAAAAAGTATGTGAGTACAAAGGGAGAGGGAAGCCTTCACTCACTGAAAACTACACCAGGAGGAGTTGAGGGAAGAAGCAATACATTAAATTCTCACAGTCCAAGTTCTAAATCGACAGAAGTTAAGGCAGAGGTAAACAAATATGTGTAACAGTTTTCATTAGCAATGTCTTTACCATTTTGCCTCTGTACAGAGTGTGTTCAAACTTTTATTTTTCCCAGGTAGATGTACCGTATATGATCATTTTGCCTCTGTACAGAGTGTGTTCAAACTTTTATTTTTCCCAGGTAGATGTACCGTATATGATCATTAACTTTTGTACTTTTCTTAATATTTTACCAGGACAGCAATATGAAGATACCAAACTGGAGGAAGAAAGTGTTGAAGGTTACAGTAACCATAATGTTCTTTGTAATGGCAATAGGTGTCATTGTAATCTGGACGCTACATGAAGGTGGAGGTGAAATCTTAAAAGAAGATGGTGTATTCACGTTTGATATTGATGAACGTGAACTTTTTATCAACCTTAAACAGAATGAAAATGCTTTAAAGCTAAAACTTGGTGGAGATGATTTTAAAACACTGGCCAAAGAAACATCAGTGAGTGACCAATGCAAGGACCCTACTAACAAGTATTGTTATGTTCTTAAAGATGGAACAGCTGTATATCTGAGGTCATCTCAGATGAATGGAGTTCAATGTTATCAGGTCAGCTGGAAAAACTTGACCTCCTTTTTACCAGAGGATTGTTTTGAGTTAAATCATGGACACTGGTATGGTCTTGTGAATAAACAAAACCCATCTGGAAACACATGGCCAATACAGAATTTGCAAATTTCTAAACAAACCATACTTGCTGGCTACAATAAGGACCTAGGTGATATTTATGAATATTACTGGCTGTCAAGTACTGGAACAACATTCTATATTGTTGATGACTTTGCAGTACAGATATCATTCAACCATTCCAACAGCAATAAATTTTGTGTATCTCCTGTTTCCCGTGAAAACTTAAACTCACTTGAATATGCAGTATGCCAAGGGACATCCATCAAAATAGCTCACATTGGAACATCAAAGAAGTTTGGCCTACAACCTGCTATTTCATTCAATAGTACAGATCTAGGATGGATGTTTGAGTATGTTTGGGATACACAGACCCTTGGAGTAGAAGACAGGAGTAACTTAGTTAACTTTATCCTGAATAATGTTTCCAGCAATAATCTTAATTGTGGTTTGTTAGAAATTCCTTTGAGCTGGGAAGAACATTTTGGAGATTTCAGATTAAGTATAAACCTCTCTCAGTCTGTATTTCAAGAACTAATGGATTTGAAATGTAACATGATATATAAAGTTTTTCCTGTTTCATCATTTGAATCTTCAAATTTCATATCTGGAATAAGATCGAAAATGTTTGCTATAAACTCATTCAGCAGTGCAACATATTTATTGGACTATAGAAATAAGCAATGTGCGGTGTGGGATTTAGGGAAACAACATGTTCAAACATTTATATTGAAAGAGTTGAATGAAATTGCGAACAATTTTCATGTTAAAAAGTTTGATTTGCAAAGTATCCCATCAGTGGATGGGTTAGATGGACATTGGCCTAGCAGAAGTAAGGAGTTTTACAAGTATTGGCTACACTTATTAAATAACATGACTGGATTGAATTTCCAAGAAGAAACCTTCAGAACACAGAGCATACCCTCTGCAGTTGAAATCCTTTTCAAGCAACATTCAAATGAGAAAAATGCATCCCAAACTTGTATGACAAACAGTATTCCTAATTTACTTACTCTGTCCTTGTTTGGGTATCCTTTACTTATTTCAGCCCTTGACCTGTCTGAGCATAACCCTATAGATCCTGATATACTACTAAGATGGTTACAGGTTTCTGCATTTATCCCTGCAATAAAAGTCCCAATGGCAGCTTTAATGCAAAATACAAATTTACTTTCTTATGCAAACAAGGACATTCTGGATCTGCATAACTCAATATATAAGAAAATGGATTTTCTCAATTATTTGGAAGGATCTGATGAGCCTTTTATAAGGCCACTTTGGTGGTTAGATCCAGACGATTCTGAAGCCCTGACCATTTCTGATCAGTTCTTAGTTGGAGATAAATACCTGGTAGCCCCCCTTTTCTGCTCAGGTCAAAGATCTAGGGACATTTATTTGCCTAAGACTGCTGACAGAAGTGTATGGCAGTATATTTTTAGAAATGGAACTATCAGAAATTTTGCAGCGGGTGGGTGGTTACGTCAGTTTCGTGTTTCATTGTTTAATATTCCATACTTTACTAGAAAAGTTGTGCTTCCCATTTCAGATGATTAGTTGTAAGGGCATTGCCTGTTATATATGTGTACTTATAGCAATTACTATTACTCAACAATTTGTTATTGATTCAATTAACAATTTTAGAAGATGGATGCTGAATTGTGAAGCAAAATCTGGTCAATGAATTAATGTCTAATTGGTCTGATTCGACAATTGTACTTCGCATTTGGCTCTGTTTTGGATGACATATTCATGGTAGAATATTCAAATTTACACATGTAGATTAGGATGGGATGTTGTAAAGTTGGACTTGTCCTTGGCATAAGTAAAATAAAAAATAGCATCTTTATTGAGGATGATCAATTTTGATCAATTTCTTCCAACATCAGACAAGTAAAATTCTGATAAGATTTTTTGAGTTGACTCTGACTTTTCATCTTGAAAATGTTTTAATATCTGTGGACAGGGACCCATTCTCAGTCTGATTGTCATTTTTTATCATCACTTATATAAAATGAAGTATGGCTGTTTTAAATGTTAACATAGGGGTTGGGCTTGACCTTTGATCTTGAGATTGGTAAATTAATTAAAATATGTTTTATCTGCTGAGGGTGTCCTACTGTGAATAAATCTTCTGACTTTACTGCAGAGTGAATCAGAACAAGGTTACATGTACTAGTATTTAGATACTGTCATTGGGGTTGGCCTTGACATCATACCTCATTATTGGCTAAAACATTTATCTCTATTGTGGATGACATATTCAAGTTATCATCTTTTAATTTAGCATTGAGTAAACATCTTTACAGTACTGTCATTGGATATGACCTTTATCTTTGTCTTTGGAATTCATGAATGATTTAGGCATTAATCTCTGTTTTAGGTAACCAATCAACCCGTTTTCTACAAATTTTATGCAGGTTGTATAGATACATAAGGATGAAATATTTTGATTACTTAGTTATATTTTGATAAGACCTTAATTTTGGTACACTATATTTGATTTGTGGGGTCATGCTTCTGTTTCAATGCAAAGGTCATGATAAATTAGATATATACGGGTATCACGGCTTTTCAGTGCTTTGAATGATTGAATCCAATTTGAAACAACCTTTATCATTCAGTGAACTTCTTGAACAAAACTAGTGATACATGAAATGTCAATATGTTTGAAATCTCAGTTTGTAAATGAACTATTATAAAACCATTTAATGTTAATAGATTTATATATAGACACTTAACAAGCAGATTATACCTTGATTTAGAATTAATGGAAATTTATGTATTGTGAGTTGTTTAGTGTTCTTTCGTTGTTCTTCGTCTATGAATCATAGATAAGTTTTTTTTTTGAAATATTGTTTATTATTTACAATGTAACAATGTGCAGATTCTTTTCTTGATGAAACTCAGTGGTATGTTGATAGTAATACATTTTGTTGTATGTCTAGGAATAAGAATCTTTGTCAACTAGATCTAAATGGAGTCTGAACTAGTTAATATACACTTTACATGTTTTATGATCTCAAATGTACATGAATATGTTGGTGTTTACTTTACCATTCCTTTGTCCAGTGTCCTGATTTTCATATTCCAGTTCCACCTTTACTTTATGTCAATGTGAAAATTTAGTATTTGTGTTACAGATACAATTTGAGAATCATTTTACATAAATTATCTGTATGCTCAAAGTTTTGTGGTTGTTCACACCAATATTAATTAGTAAACAGTTTTAGACCCCTGACATCTATTTTTAAGATGAGATGGCCAGCTACAGTACCAAAAGAGGGGAGGGGGTACTCTATGAATAATATTTTTAATACATAATACATGTACTATGTCTTATAGTAGTAAATTTTAAAAAGATCTGAAATATTGAAGGGGAATATTAAAAAAAAATGGTTATAATTTTCTAATTTAATATCATCCTTTTTAAATTTCATGCAGGAAATATATTGAGATTGTAATATTCATCATACACTGTAGTTAAGGATATACACATAATGTAGTTTTTAATTTTATTTTCTTATTTCCCATATAAATGAAGGGGTCAAATAATTGAAGGACTTTAATTTGTATGAATTTTATAATGCCTTATGTTGTACACCTTTTCCAAAACAATTTTGAGAAAATAACAGCTAAAACTTTGGTTGGTTATTTTTCTCATGATTTTCATCATTTGATATTTATTCAAAACTCCTGGTAATGTTTGCTTATATATTGTTTAGGAACATCTGATGCTAACTGTGATTTTGAATTAAAAATATCTGGAAAAATTAACAATGGGTAAGGTATGTTGCATATGACCTTGTATTTTTTTTATGAATTTATTGAAATACACAAGGCCAGAGTTTCTAAGACTAGCCCTATCGCGACAGGATTTGTTACAAACAGTTAGAATCATGTTATATTTTGTCAATTCAACACATACTTTTTTTGTCTTTGTTTGGGGGGAGGAAGCTGGTGATTTTTTAGATGATTACTTTGACAAGGATCAGGAATCAAAATCAGAATAACTGCCAAAAAAAGAATATGTCTTCATTAAAAAAGGAAGAAAAGTATACCCCTAAAGCAGAGCTCCTGCAGGTAATTCATGTATTAATATGAAGAATATATATTACTCAATTATAGTACATGGTGTATTTGTAAGTACTAGTGTTCTGTGTTTTAAAAGTTTCTGAACGTTTAGTTAAAGGATACATTATAAAGCTAATGGTACAAATAATAGATATCTTTATCAAAATGTGATTTTTGTTCATAGCATAATTTTCTTTTGGTGCTTTCATTTTAATAATTCCATTATATTGTGCAATGTTAAAAATACAGAATCATGAACTGTTTTGCATTGTGTATGCAGTGCCATGCCTGTATTAACTTTTTAATTTAATATTTCTCATGGTTCTCCCCTTCAGTGATATAATGTTTTTTTTTATGGTTAAACTTGTACATGTATTACTTTTTGCATGTGATATTAAGTGTTGGTTTTTTTTTTGTATTACAAAAATGTATATAGTTGTTCAGCAAAAATGTATGTACATGTATATGTTAACACATGTAAAAAAAAAAAAATCTGTAAATTCAAATAACTTATATATTTTCTTTTTGTTTTTTAGCTGTATTACATAAAATGATTTGTGTAGAATATATCATTAAAAAAATATCTTATTCATCATAATTAGATATACAAAAAAAAAAAGCAGAATTATCAATTGTGCTCAACCATTTTTGATTTGACTGCTGTTTCTTGATTTATTTTTATTTTTTTTTGGTCAACATAAGAGTTAATCTGTGCTACATAAATTTTCTTCACAGATTATGTTTTAACTATATAATCTTGGTTATGGCCAATTGGATGAAATGAATTTAAAATTTGTTGTAGACCTGCTGAAAGGTGTATAATAGTGTACCACTGGCACTCATTTATATTATTCATTTTGTTTAAAGTTTATCCCAGTAATTCAGTGCAATTTCAATGCATGTAAATGTAGTTTGTTTTATTATAATTTATACACACCTATTTAAACCTTTCATTAAAAAAAGTCTGTTTACAAGGAATGGATGTTTAGCATGAAATGATACTTAAAATATTATTTTAAAAATTGTTTCACATTTTTCTTCTGTTTTGGTTGTGTATTGTTAATATTTTACTTTCCACAATAAAAGATGTGCAAACAATGCCTTGCTCCATTTAGAGTCAGCTGAGGTGGCAAAGTCAGTACGAAATAAAAGTTCACTGGTCGATAAACCAGGTGAGATCCTTGAATTGACAAGGTGTAACTGTCCTGTCTGTAAACAGAATGATACTCTTACATTGTTTTTGTTTTATTTTTAACTGCATTGCCAGGATTACAAATACAAATAATCCGTGAAATTTGTCAAAAAATGCATTTTTATCTATGAAATCATGCAATAACGGAAGCCCATTTAGGACCTAGAAAAAATGATTTTGAATTCGATAAAACGAATTATCGAATTTGTTATAACGAATTGAATTTGATTTAACAATTCTTTGAATTCGCTATAATGAATTAAATCTGTTATAACAAATTTGTTGAATTCGTTATAACAAATTCAAGAAATTGTAATAACAAATTATTTCGTTATAATGAATTCTAAAACTTGTTATAACGAATTGAATTCGTTTAAACGAATTCTTTAATTTGTTATAACGAATTAAATTCTTTAAAACGAATTCGACAAGTCGTTATATCGAATTCATTTATATTTTTCTACAAGCCCTAATGTTGAATTTGATAAAACGAATTTAATTCGTTATAACAGTTTAAGAATTTGTTTAAGCAAATTTAATTTGTTATAACAAATTTTAAAATTCGTTTAAACATATATTTAATTTGCTGTAACAATTTTTGAATTCGTTATAACGAATTCAACAGATTTTTTTTTATAACAGGTTAAATTCTTTTTAACGAATTCAAAGAAATTGTTATAACGAATTAAATTCGTTTAATCAAATTCAACATTAGGGCTTGTAGAAAAATATATATGAATTCGATATAACGATTTGTCGAATTCGTTTAAAGAATTTCTGTTTATCGACTTCGTTTTAAGTATTACTATAGTGATTTTTCTGTGCAGAATCTTTTTTTTAAAGTTGAAAATGAATGCTTAAATAGTAAACTTCGATCCCTATCATAATAATGAATTTTGATCCTGGTTGTCAAACTCAATCAAGATTGAAGTCTTCTATGGAGGCATTACTTTTGATTTTAAACTTCGATTAGTTGCATGGATCTGACAAAGTTTGCGTTTTCAGTATTGGGTAGGAAAGCTGTAATAAACAAAGACAAGGGTAATAACAAGAGGAGAAAAAGGCAAATTAAAGTTTGTTGACTACTTATGTAAAGGACAGGATGATACAGCTGAGTTGAAAATAATCATAGAGTAGACTCAGTGAATACATAGACTCTAGCTCTATGTCAATTTACAATATTTTTCAAGTTGTTGAGTAGTTCTTTATAGTTCAAAAATAAAAATTATGTCCAGACAAGTTCTTCCATATTTCATGTCCAGACAAGGCCTTCCATATTTCACGTCTTCTTGTGTCAAGAACTTTCTATTTGACCTCTTGACCTTGGAATTTGAACCACTTTTGCATATTTATTTCAAAATTAAATCTTGGTCGTAACTTTTGAACAGTTGGTATTAGGGCTTTCATACTCCACGTGTGTATTCCTCGTGATAAGACCTTCTTTTGAATAATATAATTAAATATTTTTGAGTTTTTCATCTTGACCTTGGAGTTTGACCTACTTAAAATTTTTTTTTTTACCTTGGCCATAAGTTTTGAATGGTTGGAACTAAGGTTTTTATATTAAATACATGTACAAGTATTCCTCGTGACAAGACCTTCACTTGGGTACCAACAATTTTGAACCACTTTTGAGTTTGACCTACTTTTGAAAAACTTTAACTTGGCCATAACTATTGAAGGGTAAGTGCTAGGAATTTCATATTTCCCAGGTGGGTGTATTCCTCGTGACAAGACCTTCCTTAGGGTACCAACTTTTTTGATCTATTGACCTTGACCTTGGAGTTTGACATTCAATTTTAAGCATCCAATAAAATTTAACCTTCGCCTTGAGCTGCCATACGGGGGCACCAGTGTTTCACAGGCACCTCTTGTTCAAAGCTGTATTTTCAATAGATGACTAACTTAGTTCCATCCTGGGAGCTGAAATCCTGACATGAATTTCACAATTTGGTATATAGGACTAATTGTTCATAAAAATAATTTGTTGTTTGTAGTTATAATGTCCAGGAGGAAAGCCTTTTCAATGTGTAAAATATTGTCAATGTTTAACCAACTTTGTCCTTCACTGATGCCAGACACCTGGACCAAGGGTCATTGATTTCACAATTTTGGTTGAAGGGTAATTGCTCATTATACCCATGCAAATAGTTTCCATACTTTCTTTCCAAGAGGAAAGAATTAAAAGATTTTCAAATGTGAAATAAATTTTTAATAGGCCTATATGACCAGATGAGTCCCATATGCTGCCTGAGCCTAAATCCTAGATTTTCACAAGTAGAGTGTTCCAACTTCTCTCAGTACTTATGCGAGCAGATGCATGTTTGCCAGATATGCAGAAGTAGAGAACATACTTTTGAATATTGCATGAATTGAAATGGCTTCGATCCCACACTTCATATCCTTATCATATAATAACGCCTTTTTCACTTTGCATTATAAAGCCTTTCTATTTTTTTTTCCTTTTCAAACAGGCCTGTAGTACGACCCCCCTCCCCCCTCCTCCCCAACTTTGTATTGTGGAGAATAGTCTTCTGTAGTACTTCTAATATATATAGATATATATTTCATTTATATATAGCCTGTTTGGTCCCCGCAACTTTTGTTTCAGTATGGTTAAACTCTGGCAAATTCTTGCATTAAAAAAATGCCGAAAAGTTAAAGAAAAGCCCTTTTGAAAGGAGTTATTTTAAAACGTCTTTTCACTTTGCATTATTACGCCTTTTTCGCGTTGTTACGCCTTTTGAAAAGGCGTTATTACGCCTTCTAATTTTTCCCCTCCCAAAGATTGGTCCTAATATATGCTTTATTTGCACCCATCCAGTTAAGAGAATTGAACATTACGTAGGACAGTCAAATATGGTCAAAGTCATGATCAGCGTAAATATATAAAGGGAAATACATGTATTTATTTTATTTTATTAATTTATTTTATAATTTAACATGTATAACACACACAAATCCCAAGGCTTCTAAGCGTCTCGTGGTTCAAACTAATAAAAATGTATTCATTCATGAAATGGAAATTGATTTTTCGGTCAAAGGTTAAGTCCCATGACGGAAATTCTATTAATATGTACATGTACTATGAAATATCGAAAAGGGCTTAATTACCTCCCTGTGAAAAGAACACTTAATTTGTATTAAGTTTTTCTAATTATATCCATGGATCAGAACAATGGCGGACTTTGGAGGGGGCGGGGGGTGTGTGAATTTTTTTTATTATATAATCTTTATTGCCCAAGACATACATCTTATAGCATTGAGTTAACAAACATCAAAAGATTAAGGTTGTGTGACGTGGTAATACAAATATATGTAGTATATAATGTTAAATTTTAACAGACTTTAGTATTAGTCGGCACCCTAAAATTCACAGATGCTTGGGGACGGGACCCCTCCCCCCCCATGTTCCGTACCCCAAGGGTTCTTTGCTTTTTTTGAATAAAATATTTTTCGATGACACATGCACAAAGTATTACAGCTGAAAAAAAAATACACACTCTCTAATACTAAAATCTTTTAGTATCAGAGAGTATGAATTTCTATAAAAGGCTAGTTTAAGATTATAGTTTGGATTTTTCAGTTGTAAGACTTTGTGAATCTGTCATAGAAAAATATTTATTTAAAAAAAAAAGTCAAAGGACCCTTGGGATACGGAACACTGGGGGGGGGGGGGGGTCCCGTCCCCAAGCACCTGTGCTAAAATTATGAAATATTGATAAAACTTTTCCTATTACAATTATTAGTAACTCCAAGAATGTTTTTTTTGTCATTTAATTAAGTTTTCTAACCCCCCCCCCTTCTCGAAATACATGTAAATTGAATTTTGTGAACTGATTATCACGCCTCCGTCAGCCAAATTTCAAAATCAATGGTGAATATTTTTCTTTATTTTTCTTTACCCCCCCCCCCCTCCTTCATTATACGTATCAAATCTTGTTAAGAAAACTTCGATGCTTTCCCCACGAACAAATAAACTAACAAAACTGATAAATAAACATAAAATAAAAAAATAATAATCGGGTTCGATGTGTCATGATAACTCTCGGGTTCGGGTTTCTTTTCATTAGTCAACAAACAATATGGACGAAAGTTTGGCGCCAGTAGAGAAATCAAGCGAAGATGTTTTATCAATGGTTGACGTCTTAAAAGAGGAAGTTGAATTAGAGGAAGAGGCTAATGCGGTACTGGGAGACAGTGATGATCAGAACTGCACTTATCCACTTGTAAGTGTTGTCTTTGAATTAGGACTTTAGTGTGTGAAAATCTGCTGACTAGTGTTTATGTCTCTGATTAAAGTAAAGTACTAGTAGTATTATTTAGAGTTTGTAACCATATATATTGTATATATTTAAGTGTTTAGTGGAGTTAAATATGAATTCTTGTTTAGAGTCTCTAGCAATTTATATTGTATACATTTAAGTGTTTAGCTGTTTAGTTGAGTTAAATATGAGTTTTCATTTTAGGTTAAATGAAGAGATTTTTCTCAGCTAGTATCAAGTCCAGATCAAAGATGGCTTCAGAACTATGAAAATTCAAGACAGACAAACCAGAGAGCTACAGATCCAAGAATTATAAAAACTTTGGATTTACAGCATCACTCTTTTTGTCACATGCTTTGGGTATTATTTCTGGTATTATATGCGTTGTGAAAGCATGGTACCCATTAAATAACCATATATTTTACTCCCAATCTTGTAACTTAATTTACCTTTCAATGGTCCCAAACAGCATGACCTCAGCATGGATGTTGGAATGCGAAATTTTTGAAACTGACATTCCAAGACAACATAGTGCTATTTGGGACCATTGAAAGGCAAAAAAAAAAAAAAAACCCAACAAACAAACAAACAAGATTGCTTTTGGTGGTTACTCATTTAATACAAGAAATAATATCCTAAACATGTGACAAAAAATGGCACTGTAAATTGAAGGTTTTTACAATATTTGGATCTGTAGCGCTTTGATTTGTCTGTCCAAATTTTCTCAGCCAGAGAGCTAAAGTTCTGCAGCTAGTTCAAAGACTATTCTATCTATATAGCTATTTATAGCTACCTAGCTATTAATACCTACACTTATCTTTTTTTTTTTTTATTGCTTGCTTTACAATACATGCATTTCATGGCCGAATGTGGGATCATTGCAATATGGCGAATTTCTTGATACAGTCGCACTGACGATGAAGATGACAAAAATTTTGGCCAAAAAATGAGTACTTTCTAACTTACCAATTATGCATCCATAGCTACATCCAGTTCCAGCCTAAACTGTCTTAAAAATCTGTATTAATTTTTAAATTGACCTTCGTGCATCCTTAGATAAAAGGTTTTTGAATGATTATTCATACATTCCTCTCTAATCACCACTCTTATAAAAATTTAAAATTTACACCCAGAATTTTGCCATGCAAATGCACATGATAAACAATAAGTCTGACCTGTTTTAAAGATGTGCCTTAATTATTATTATTTCCATTTTTAAAGACAGGTAAAAAAAGGTAGAAGTAGCTACTTTTAGTAGATTTAAATACCTAGGTAGCTGTTAAAGTGTTAATTATAGCTATGTAGGTAGAAAAAGTCTTTGGACTGGACCTGATTATGATTTGTAAAACATAGCAATCATGTTTTATTATATAAAACCTTTCATTATAGGGTTATGTATCCCGACAGGCTTTGTATGCTTGTGCAACCTGTGCCCCAGAAAGTCCAGCAGGAGTGTGTTTGGCTTGCAGTCTTGAATGTCATGAAGGGCATGAGCTGTTTGAATTATATTCTAAACGGTAAATTTGAAAGTTTTTTATGTTGACAATTAGAGTTGGATGATATATATCGAGATATTGATAAACTTCATGATCTTTAATGAATCTGATGCACATATCAATAAGTGAGCGGCAATATCGATCAAGAAAACGCTTATTTATGTTATACTTTACTTCAAAAGTTATATTCAGTTTTTAGCCAATGAGAATGCACAGTTCTCTGAAAGTAAGCCCGAAACTAGTGTTATGAAAAAAGGCAATATGTGAAAACTCTTTGGTCTCCTTGGAGACTCTGACTGAAAAAGTCTAACGTTTGGACTTATTTCGGATTTCCAGTTTATGAAAAAGACTCGAAGAGATTTACTGACAAAAAAAATGGCATGTCATCACTGTAACAACTTGGTCCTGTACAATGGAAATACAGCAAATATGCATGTACATTAAAAGAGACATCATCCGAACATAACACAAAATTTTGATGACACTACACAGAAGAAAAGCTCTGTTACCCAGAAAACAATACAAGCTAATCTACCATCATTATCAAAATACCGGTACTCTAATTCCTCATCGAGAGCAGCAGACATAAAGCGGGCTGTGGCATGATTTATTGTGTCTGACATGAGACCGCTGGGCATAGTGGAAACCTACATCTATACCTAGCGAAAGCAGTGATTAATCTAGGTCATATGTACTACATGTACCAATATTCAGTATTTTTCCCCAAGAGAAAATTTCCCTTGCTTATCTCATTTTCCTGTTTTGATGAGTAAAAAATTCCCCTTACACTCTAAAAAAGCTCAAATGTTTTTTTTTTTTGAATTCTTGCATTATGCAATATATTTTTGATATCTTAATGTTTTCTAGTAGGCAAGTTGTACTTGTATCTTTTATTTCTTTGTTTGACTAGGTAACATCAATTGAATTTATTTTAGAACGAGTTGATTTTACAAATTACGGAATGTTGCACATAGATGGCTAAGTTAGAAACTACATAAAAAATAACTTTATCACGCCAAATAATTATGAATTTTTCTATGATATAGATATGAATTATATAATACAGAAATATCAAATTACATTCTGAAAAAAAAAAGTCTCATAAACGAGAGTTAACTTCATACATGAACTTTTTTGTGCCAAATCCAAACAGTGATTTATGTGCAAATAAATAATTGCAAATGTAAAAAAAACCCATTAAGACTACAAGGATAAGACTAAGTTGTAACCGTATACAAGATGTGATGGCATATTTGCCATGGTATGCATGGTGGATCTTGTCATCTGTGCATTTTATTGATACAAAAATGGTTTTACACAGGTTAGGCACTGTAAATGGTCATAAAAATTCTCAAATTCAATTTCGGCCAGGGGGTCTTTCTAATGTCCTTAAGTGCAGTCATCCTTATTATGTTGCATCAGTAATGAACCCTAGATGGAGCATTCATGTCCTATGGACATACTTCTAGTTTTGAACTGTGATATTTGTTTCATACTTTAAATTACTATTTAATGTTTTAAGACCAATTTTTCTCAATTCATTTTTTTCTACTGCATTTTTAAACACATTGAAGTGAATAAATTACTTCTTTAATATTTTCTAGCAGCCGATATTTCCCTAAGTACTCTGGAAAGAGCTATTTTTATGCCCCGCCATGAATATGGCCGGGGCATATAGTGTTTGTCATGTCGTCTTCCATCCTTCCATCTGTCCTTCCGTCACACTTTGCGTTTAGCTCTGTTCAAAGCTCAGTTTCAAAGAAACTATCCAAGATATTTTTATCAAACTTCATATGCTGATAGATATTGATGAGAGCTATGCAACTGCATCAACATTTTTTGCCCTTGACCTTTCATTTGACCTTGACCTCACTTTTCTTAAATTAGTGTTTAGCTCAGTTTTAAAGATACCATTCAAGGTAGTGTAATCAAACTTCATATGTTGTTACATACTGATAGAAGCTATTCAACTGCATCAACATTTTTTAACCTTGACCTTTCATTTGACCTTGACCTCACTTTTCTTGAATTGTGTAAAACTTCATATGCTGATTAGGGCTGTCACGGTTCCAAAATTTTTCGGGTCGGGTTGGTTCTGTAAATTTTCGGTTCAGTTTCAGGTTTTTCGGGTCAGTTATTTACATCTATTTTAAACCTTAATTTCATGAATTTAACTTGAAAAATCTTTATTTGTTACATTAAATTTACATTGAAAACAAGTCTTAACCATGTGAACATCTAGACATCAGTGACTTGGCCTACTATTAGCCACAACCTGACCATTCCTGCTCGTTTTGATAATTATCTAATACTTCTGTGACAAGTGTTTTGTCATGGAATGAAGTAAATTTCAGCTGTGATGTTTATTTATCACTGTTATCGTCATCATTCCTTTGATTTCGACGCCATTTTTTGTATTGAACAGACTCTAATATATAAACCAGACCCAAACCGAAATCCGGAAAAATAGAACCGGAACTGAACTGAACAACTTGGACCGCGGTTCTCAGTTATTTCGGGTACTTGTGACAGCCCTAATGCTGATACATACTGATGAGAGCTTTTCAACTGCATCAATATTTTTTTACCTTGACCTTTCCTTTGACCTCACTTTTCTTAGATTAGTGTTTAGCTCAGTTTTAAAGGTACCATTCAATACAATGTTATCAAACTTCATATGTTAATACATACTGATGAGAGCTATTCAACTGCATCAACATTTTTTGACCTTGACCATTCCTTTGACCTTGACCTCACTCTTCTTAAATTAGTGTCAAACTTCATATGCTGATACATACTGATGTAAGATATTCAACAACATCAATATTTTTTGACCTTGACCTTTCCTTTGACCTTGACCTCACTTTTCTCAATTTGTGTTTAACTCAGTTATAAAGAAAACATTCATAATATTTTTATCAAACTTCATATGCTAATACATACTGATGTAACCTTTTCAACTGCATCAACATTTTTTGACCTTGAACTTTCCTTTGACCTTAACTTCATTTATTTTAAATTAGTGTTTAGCTCAGTTTTAAATAAACCATTCAAAATATTTTTATTAAACTTAAATATGCTGATACATATTTGTGAGAAGTATTCAACTGCATCAAAAACATTTGACCTTGAACTTTCCTGTGACCTTGACCTCACTTTTCTTAGATTTACATTTTGCTTAATTTTAAAGAAACCATTTATTATAAGATATATTTTTGTAAGTTTATGCACTTATACATAATTTGGCAAGAATTTATCATCTATATCCAACATTTTAGATTTCAATTTCAATTTTAAAGAAACTATTCAAGATATTTTCATCAAATTTCATATACTAATACAAATTTTCATGTTGCATTACTAATATACCCTCGGCTGGGCATTCATGTCCTATGGACATATTACTAGTTTCCTCCTTAACTTTTCTGAGAACAAAATGGTCTTCTCCAAATACAATCCTTTGCAATTCTCTTTCATCCTAATGTCCTCTATTAAAGTGGGGTCCTTTGAGATGTTCACCATTTCAATGATATCTAGTTTACTCTGTAAATATACTTTAATGTATATATTTATTACCAGGAATTTCCGTTGTGATTGTGGAAACAGCAAATTTCCAGGAACAAAGTGCAAGTTATATTCTGTAAGTTTTGTTTGATTGAAATTCTCATTTCAACTAATACTGTATACCAACTTTTATTCGCTACAACTTTAATTTGTGATTTGTCAGTTTGAAATCTACATGCTAGTCCACGACTAATTTTTGTGTGTAAATGTACAATGAAGTAAATAATTTGTGGTGAGAAATACTGTAGATCACTTAATTTTCTTAACGCTTTATTTTCAGGAGATTGTTATTTGGTATTTATAAATGAAACAAAATTTTCACGAATTTCAGTCATTGTTCTATATAATCTTTTATAATACTAATATACGCAAGATTGAAATTTTGGCAAGCAGAAAGTAGCATTTAATTACGCTGAATTAAAGTTATCACGAGCAAAAAGTGATTTACAGTATATGTGAGTTAAAGAAGGTTGCAAAACTCTTTATATATGTCTCAGTAACTGCAATAATGTACCCCTCTCCAATTTTTTTTTTTTGCTGAAAAGTGAAAACAGATGAAAAAAATCAGAGAGGGCTACATTATTGCAACTAATATCTCAGATGCAAATTAAAGATGTGTACAGTAACTTGTGCATAAAATACATTTGTGAAACACTTAATCTTAAGAGTGCATTTTATTTATGAATGCAGGAGAAAGATGCTACAAATTCAGAAAATGCTTACAATCAGAACTTTAAGGGACTTTACTGTACTTGTCATCGACCCTACCCCGATCCAGAAGATGAGGTATTTTCAAAGTTGACTATACATCTTTTAACTTATTTGATTAAGTGAATGGTTCAGCAGTCTGTACCAAGTCATTCATTTATATTTTAGACCTCATATGCTCTTAGTGGTCCTGACTTTTATGTGTTCATCTTTTGATGGCACAAATTATGATATGGCATCCTGACCTGTCTGTATGTCTGTCAGCATTTTCCTGTCGGGGTCTTACCTTTCACACCTTGAGGCCAAGGGTCATCAAACTTGGTCAGCTGATTTAGAGATTAAAAAACAATTTCTTCCTAAATATCTGTCACCAAATAGTGAAAAATGCTTTCCATACTATCCTAATACTATAGATGAGGAAATATATACAAATAAAATTCAGAATTATAAGATTGTTATTTCTTTCTTGTTATTCCTAATGAAATTACATACATGTATAGGATAACATTGTCAAATCTTATTAAGATGGAAGTTTTCATAATTTGTGAATCCCTGAAACAAAATGGTTGAAGTTTGAATAACACAAGGGAAATAATTGCAATTACATTTTTAGTTCACCTGAGCCAAAAGCTCAAATGAGCTTTTCTGATCAAAATTTGTCCATAGTGTTGTTGTCAGTGTAAACTTTTCACATTTTCACCTTCTTCTCCAGAACCATTGGGCCAATTTCAACCAAACTTGCCACCTTGGGTAAAGGGGTTTCAAGTTTGTTCACATGAAGGGCTACACCCTCTTTCAAGGGGAGATAATTAAGAATTAGTGTAAATTTAATGGTATCTTTTAAAAATCTTAGCAAGAACCACAGGGCCAGAAAAAATGAAACAAGTGAAAGCTTCATTACATTGTGTAGATTGAAGTTTGTTCAAATCATGACCCCCAGGTATTGGGTAGGGCCACAGCAGGGGATCAGAGTTATACACAGGAATATATGGGAAATATCTCTTTAAAAATCTTCTCAGGCGTAGCAAAGCCATGATGTCATATTTACCGTATATGGAAGCATCCTCAGGTAGTGTAGATTCAAGTTTGTTCAAATCATGACCCCTAGGGCTAGGATGAGGCCATAATAGGGGATCATATGCTTTATAAACAAAGAAACGGTTTATAAAAAAAACGTAAATTGTTCCAACCCAGTTTATATCATATAAATTGGTTAGCTATTAAATTCATTCCTTATTATATAATTTTCGTTCATTTAGTGTAAGTAATTAAGATGATTTTTCCTTAAAAATGACTACAAATTGTTAAAAATTTTAATGTAACGTCAAGCGGATCAATACACTTTTGACGCAAGTCATAGTGATGTAGGCGACACAGTTTTTAGCTCACCTGAGCCAAAGGCTCAAGTGAGCTTTTCTGATCAAAATTTGTCCGTTGTCTGTCGGCGTCGGCGTCGTTGTTGTCGTAAACTTTTCACATTTTCATCTTCTTCTCAAGAACCACTGAGCCGATTTCAACCAAACTTGCCACAAAGTATCCTTGGGTGAAGGGGATTCAGGTTTGTTCAAATGAAGGGCCATGCCCTCTTTCAAGGGGAGATAATAAAGAATTAGTGAAAAATTAATAGCATCTTTTAAAAATCTTCTTGTCAAGAACAACAGAGCCAGGGAAGATGAAACTCATGTGGAAGCATTCTCAGGTAGTGTAGATTCAAGTTTGTTCAAATCATGACCCCCGGGGGTAGGGTGGGGCCACAATGGAGGATCAAAGTTTTACATAGAAATATATAGGAAAAACCTTTAAAAATCTTCTTCTCAAGAACAGCAAAGCCATGATGAGTCATATTTATATAGAAGCATGCTCAGGTAGTAAAAATTCAAATTTGTTCAAATCATGACCCCCGGGGGTAGGGCGGGGCCACAATGGAGGATCAAATTTTAAATAGAAATATATAGGAAAAATCTTTAAAAATCTTCTTCTCAAGAACAGCAAAGCCCTAATTGGTCATATTTATATGAAAGCATCCTCAGGTAGTGTAGATTCAAGTTTGTTCAAATCATGACACCCGGGGGTAGGGCGGGGCCACAATTGAGGATCAAAGTTTTACATAGAAATAAATAGGAAAAACCTTTAAAAATCTTCTTCTCAAGAACAGCAAAGCCATGATGAGTCATATTTATATGGAAGCATCCTCAAGTAGTGAAGATTCAAGTTTGTTCAAATCATGACCCCCGAGGGTAGGGCAGGGCCACAATGGAGGATCAAAGTTTTACATAGAAATGTATAGGAAAAATCTTTAAAAAATCTTCTTCTCAAGAACAGCAAAGCCCTGATTAGTCATATTTATATGGAAGCATCCTCAAGTAGTGAAGATTCAAGTTTGTTCAAATCATGACCCCCGAGGGTAGGGCAGGGCCACAATGGAGGATCAAAGTTTTACATAGAAATATATAGGAAAAATCTTTAAAAAATCTTCTTCTCAGGAACAGCAAAGCCCTGATTGATCATATTTATTTGGAAGTATCCTCAGGTTGTGTAAATTCAAGATTGTTCAAATCATGACCCCCTGGGGTAGGGCGGGGCCACAATGGAGGATCAAAGTCTTAAATAGAAATATATAGGTAAATATCTTCTGATGAAGAACTGTAAAGCCATGATTAGTCATTTTGATATGGAAGCATCCTCAGGTAGTGTAAATTCAAGTTTGTTAAAATGATGACCCCCCGGGGATAGGGATGGGCCACAATGGGGGGTCGAAAATTTTACATAGGAACATATAGGAAAATATCCTCTTCTCAAGAACTGAAAATCATGTTTAGTCATTTTGATATGGAAGCATCCTCAGATAGTGTAAATTCAAATTCGTTCAAATGATGACCCCTGGGGTAGGGTGGGGCCCAATGGGGGATTGAAAGTTTTACATAAGAACATGCAGAAAAAATATTTCTTCTCAAGAACAGAAAAGCTATGTTTAGTCATATTGAAATGGAAGCATCCTCAGGTAGTGTAGATTCAAATTTTCAAATATTGACCTCTGGGATAGGGAGGAGCCACAATGGGGGATCAAATTTTTACAAAGGATTATATGGGAAAAATTTTTCAAAATTTACTCAAGTACAACAAAGCCATTTGTTATATTGACATGGAAGCATCATCAGGTATCCCCCCCTCCCCCCCGGTAACCCTTTCAATACTGAACTGATTTGTGCTTTTGTGCTTTTGCCTAGCCAATGTGCTCAGGTGAGTGATGTGGCCCATGGGCCTCTTGTTATGATTTAAAGTAAATTTTTTTATCCAATTCAATGGAGCATTACAACCAGAATTAAATTATTTTATCATCAAAATAAATGTACTTGAAGTCCGGTATATGGATCATGTGATTATTAGCATGCATAACAATCAGCACATCATGTACCTTTATGATGCAATATGTGGTGCACAGTTTTCATTGAATTAACTGCTGAAGCAAAACTGTTGTATAGTTGAACTTCAACATTGTTTCAGATTGAAGATGAGATGATTCAGTGTGTGATTTGTGAGGACTGGTATCATGGAAGAGTAAGTAATGGAAGAAAAATTCAAATTTAAAAATTTCTTATTTAAGGAGGCTGGGGGGTCAACAAATTAACCACAAATTAACCACCAGATTTAACTTATTTTTTTAGATATGATATCTTAAGCTGTCAACTATCATTTGGCAAAGAAAAATTTCAAAAAAAATTATTTTTATAATTTGATTATTTTCTATATCTTCGTATGGAGCTCTTCTTCTAAAGGAGATCAATATAGTCTAAAAATGGCCACAACCCTCCAACCTCTTTAAGTATCATTCTGACACTTGACTTTTGTTTCCCAGTACCTTTTTATTACACTCCCTTATAGTGCAATTTAAAGCTCATCTGAACCAAAGGCTCAAGTGAACTTTCCTGATGAAAATTCATCTGTTAACTTTTCATATTTCTGATGATTCTCTAGAAATGCTTCACTGCTAATTTCAATCAAACATAGTAGGAAACACTGTTGATAGGAAAATTTAAGTGTGCTCAAATGAAGGTTCATTCCTCTTATAAGGGGCATTAATAAATACATGTACATGTAATTGTTACTTACATTCAAGCATCCCTGATAAAATGCAGACTCAAGACATTTGTTAAGATCTTGGTGGCTAGGATTGGGCCTACTCCAGAGGCTAGAGGTTCCTGGCTAGATACTTTAGACTTGGCACCACCCATCCATAGTAGAGGATCAATTTTAACTGATTAAACAGAAAAAAAATCAGAACAATAGAATCAGTATGAGGCAGCTTCAAATTATTGCCCCTGGGGCTAGGTTGGAGTCAGTTGGGGATTCAGGGAGTTTTACATTGTAATACATATATGTATACAGAATTTTTTTCTTTAAGAAATGCAAATTTCAATTCAGATATTAAGAAATCTCCACATGTATATTGAATTTTCTTGTAAATCATAGCCCTTTAAGGTTTTAGCTATACACTCAGGGTACAGAGCTTCAAAGTTTGGCCTGAACAATACAAGTAAATTCTTGACACAGCCTTGAAATAAATGACATTTAAAATAGATGCATGGGTTTGTCCAGCAGAAGTATGTTTACTTAAACATTAAATTTTTAAAATATAAAATACCGGTGATACCTATAAATACTAGATGTGTCTACCACCAAATTGATTTTTTTTCTGTTGAATTTTCACAGCATTTGGGTCTTGATAGTCTGCCTTCCAGCGAGAGCTATACTGAGGTGGTGTGTGCAGATTGCATGAAGAAACATGACTTCTTATGGGCTTACTCTGTACAGAGTCTAGGTAGGGCTTAAACAAGGCTAATCATAAAAATGAAAAATCATTTACACTAAGAGAAAATGAATAATTTTTTGGACAAAAACTTGTCTGACTGTTTCTTAATCATGTATGTCACCATATAACCTCTACAACATACCTTTATCAATAAGATACATAATCAGATGCTATTACTATTACTCATTAAAAACAGTTTTGAAGGATGACATCGTTCTTGAAAAAGAAGAGACAACATCTTAAAGGAATTAATGATGTTTCAGAACTTTCTGAAACAGAAGACATGTTGATGAAAAAGACTTTGTCCCTTTATAAAGAATTTAATATTCAGTGTACTTTATGATCATTTTCAGATACACAGTGTTTGGTGACAGAGGATACATCTGCAGAGGCTAATGTAGAGGAAACTTCTCCAAACAAACAAGAAAACAAAGCAGATAATAGCTGTCATCAGGTATATACATAGTAACACTTGGTTTACTGAACTCTAAAGAAAATAAATGATTGGTCGAATTTTACTTCAAGTATTACTGCTGTTCTGTATTTAAAGTAAAACGGTATACAAAATATCAATACCTGTATGATTTATTATACGAGAAAAGTATTGGGAAAATTGATTTTATGAAACAGCACTGGCATAATTTTTTAGGGAACAAGTGAAAGCACACAAAATGACATATACTGTCTCCTGAAAGATATACAGAAGAGAGATGTAACTTTTAAGGACTGTGGTACATTTTGGCAGGATGGCTGGAGGAAAAAGCTCTGTAAATGTGCAGATTGTCTGGTAAATGATCAGTTTTTAGCTCACCTGAGCTGAAAGCTCAAGTGAGCTTTTCTGATCACATTTTGTCCGGCGTCCGTCTGTCTGTCTGTAAACTTTTCACATTTTTGACTTCTTCTCAAGAACCACTGGGCCAATTTCAACCAAACTTGCCACAAAGTATCCTTGGGTAAAGGGGATTCAAGTTTGTTCAAATGAAGGGCCACGCTCTCTTTCAAGGGGAGATAATTAGGAATTACTGAAAAAATAATGGCATCATTTAAAAATCTTCTTCTCAAGAACCATAGGGCCAGGAAAGATGAAACTCATGTGGAAGCATCCTTAGGTAGTGTAGATTCAAGTTTGTTCAAATCATGACCCCCGGGGGTAGGGCGGGGCCACAATGGAGGATCAAAGTTTTACATAGAAATATATAGGAAAAATCTTTAAAAATCTTCTTCTCAAGAACAGCAAAGCCATGATGAGTCATATTTATGTGGAAGCATCCTCAGGTAGTGTAAATTCAAATTTGTTCAAATCATGACCCCTGGGGGTAGGGCGGGGCCACAATGTAGGATCAAAGTTTCACATAGAAATATATAGGAAAAATCTTTTAAAATCTTCTTCTCGAGAACAGCAAAGCCATGATGAGTCATATTCATGTGGAAGCATCCTCAGGTAGTGTAGATTCAAATTTGTTCAAACCATGACCCCTGGGGGTAGGGCGGGGCCACAATGGAGGATCAAAGTTTTACATAGAAATATACAGGAAAAATTTTTAAAAATCTCCTTCTCAAGAACAGCAAAGCCATGATGAGTCATATTTATATGGAAGCATCCTCAGGTAGTGTAGATTCAAATTTGTTCAAACCATGACCCCCCGGGGTAGGGCGGGGCCACAATGGAGGATCAAAGTTCTACATAGAAATATAAAGGAAAATATCTTCTTCTGAAGAACTGCAAACCATGATTAGTCATTTTGATATGGAAGCATCCTCAGGTAGTGTAGATTCAATTTTGTTCAAATGATGACCCGCAGGGGTAGGGTGGGGCCCAATGGGGAATGGAAAGTTTAACATAAGAACATAAAGAAGAAATATTTCTTCTCAAGAACAGAAAAGCTATGTTTAGTCATATTGATATGGAAGCATCCTCAGGTAGTGTAGATTCAAGTTTGTTCAAATGATGACCCCTGGGATAGGGAGGAGCCACAATGGGGGATCAAATTTTTACAAAGGAATATATGGGAATTTTTTTTTAAAATCTTCTCAAGTACAACAAAGCCATTTGTTACTTTGACATGGAAGCATCATCAGGTAGTTTAAAATTCAAGCCCCCCCCCCCCCCTCCCCCGGTCTTTTCAATACTGAACTGATTTGTGCTTTTGCCTAGCCAATGTGCTCAGGTGAGCGATGTGGCCCATGGGCCTCTTGTTTTTTCAAGGGCTATTCCAGGAAAAAATGTATGAGAGGGTTGGTTAGCACTTCATATATATTTTTATATGGGTAGTGGGGGCTGGAGGAATTAAATTTGTATGGGTGGTTGTCCCCACTTGATTTTTTGTTAGATGGTGGTTGTATTTACATGTACCCTCAAAAATAATCAACTGCAAAGTACTTCTTTCCTTTCAATTTGTGTAAATCAGTAAATAATGATATTTTTTTATCAAACACTTGCCCTAAACAGTTGTAAAGTGTGTTTACATTGAAAGTGAAAGTAGTATCAAACATACCAGAAACAAGGGCAGATAACTCTAAAAGCTATGGACCATGAATGTAATGACAGTGGTGGATTGGGACACGGATTCTTTGTTTTTTGGAGTGCTCCAGTCAAACATGATTACATTGGTAAATTGAATGATATTAGAAACAATCAGAAAGATTGTTTTATTTTAAATCGAAAGTAGAAATAAACGTATCTGATAATGAACATTTTAGAGCATGGCTATAGAGTTTGCAAGTCAAATATTTTACTTTATACCACATACATGTACAGAGTAAAAGGAAGAAGATGAGATATGAATATATATGACGTGTGTGTGTGTGTGTGTGTGTGTGTGTGTGTGTGTGTGACTAAATGCTAAAAGACACAATGTTCTTTGAATTTAGATGGATGGTTGTATCAAAAGCATTTTTAATTTGATGGGGGGTGGGAGAGATGGTAATTAAAAATGTATGGGTTGTGGAGTAAAAAATAAAAGTGCCTTCCCATCCCCACCCCCATTTTTTCCTTGAATAGCCCTGATCAAATAACCTCAGTTTTACTGAAGCCTTTTAATTAACTTATTTTTTAATTTGATGGGAAGAAATGTTTTAGTGTACTAAAGCTACATTTCTAGTTATTTTTTATGTTTTATGCTAGCAATAAATACAATAACAATGTATGAATTTGGAGGTTGTGAAAAGCAGATGAAAACTTGATATGAAAGGTAATGTAATCATACTAATACTGCTATCTTCATTCATAGGTAATGTACAAAGAAAAAGGCCTAGAATTTCTGACTGATGAATCTGACACTGTACATAACTATGAACAGCGAGGCAGAGACAAGGCTGTTTCCTCCTCTCAGTATGATAAAGGACTCCAGGCTTTATCCTCCATGAACAGGGTTCAACAAGTCGAGGTTCTTCACGGTTAGTGTTTACTAGAATTTGTTTTTACTTGTTTGTTTTTTCACAAATTTGATAAAAATAGATCTTAAAAATATATGCATTTGTTCAAGATTTTGTAGGATTACTGAACACAGAAGAATTTCTTTTTCCTCGCAGAAGGAAAATTTATATAATCATGCATTTAAACAAAATTGCTTCTTATATTTTTCAGGCTTTAATGATTTGAAGTCAGAGCTAACAGATTATTTGAAAAAGTTTGCAGAAAATGGAAAGGTAAGATTATAGATTATATTTGTCTTTACCTATAACCCCAGAAAGGAGGGATTTCTAGACCTCTCTATTTTCTGTGATATACAGTATTATTCATGTACAGTAAAACTCAATTATAGCAAAGTGTTGGGGACCTATGACTTTACTTTGCTATATCCATTATATACATATAAAGAATTTGTTGAAGTATATATAGCAAACAGAGTTTGTTGTAAACATAAAATTTAAGAAAGAGTTATTAAGAATTTTGCAGGGAATCCCAAAAATGTTTCCTATATGCATAAGTTCACTATGTACATATGTGTTCATACTAAAAGTTTTACTGTACATGTATATGACTTGATTGAATGTAAAATTGTAAACATGAATATAATATAAAGAAAAAAAGAATATACATGTCAAATAAAATGATTGTGTTTGAAAATTAATTTATTGAAGTATGAATTAAATATTAAACATAAAGAAAATGTTGAACTATTATAAGTTGAAATAAGATTTATTCTTAGTAGACAAGGAACCGTTCTTAACATAATTTTAGTAATTTACATATATAATGCTAAAACTGATTTCATTAGGTTGTAAGAGAGGAGGACATTCGAGAGTTTTTCTCCGGAATGGAGGCCAGAAAGCGACAAAGGGCTGCAGGACCAATTCCTTATATGTGTAAATAAATGAGACTAAAAAGTGAACAAGTTTTATAATAAGGTCTCTGTATTCCATTAACAGGTTAAGAAAGTTTTATTTCTTAAATTTTTTTTAGAAGTTTTCTGGTAAATAATTTTTTTTTTTTACACCTTCCTCTCACTTTTCAGAGGGGTTAAAGGTGAAATGAGGGGTTATTTACAGTCACTCTAGTATACACGTACATTTTGGATAAGTGATAATGTTAGCATTTTTAAGTACCTCGGTAGGTACATCCCAAATAATTATAAGCAATGTTTGACCATACTGGCATGGAAAATGCATTTGGAAGGATTTGCCTGCAATTTTGCATCAGATTGCATTTTACCCGTATTCTCCTTACCAATAATAAAGTATTTTCTTTGAGCCACATGGAATGTTTAAATAAGTATACATCTACCAACTGTCTGAGTGGTCAAAAAGGAATGGTGTATAGCATGTACATGTATATGTGATCCAAAGATAAATAACTGAAAGTATGTAAACAATCAATTACACAACCCACAGATTTGTGGAGATTCAGAGAGATTCATATTAAGGCATAACCTTACTGATTTCTTACTTTGATAACATGCTTTGAGTAAAACAAGATGTGAGAGATGATGACTGTATTTTTATACTATTTGAGATTTACTTGTATTCTTATTTATAATTTGTAAGTTGCACTGCCTTTTAGGCAAGCTTTTAGTTTGATTTCCTGTAATAGTGAATATTGACATTTTTATTCATTATAAAATTACAGAGCGAATAAATGTGTAAACAAACCATTGGAAACTTTTTTCTGAGAGATGTACATTGTAAGATTATTTTAAAGATGTTGCTTTTATTGTGACTAAATGTGTGAATTTTGTATATGATAAAATAACTAGGTATGAAAAAAAAACAAAAAAATAACCCAGGTGGAAATATTTTCTCTTGCAAATTTTCTAACTATAAAAAGAAATTAACATCCCCTTCCCCTAGGCAGCAAAGAAAACGGTTATGAATTCAAAAATATCCATATGGTTATTTTCTGTAATAATTGACAGAAATGTGAACTTAACAAACCAATGTCAGATTGAGATGTAAAATTGGTTGATTTCTACGTTAGATCTCAGGCAGTCCGAGAGCTAGGAATTATTCAGTCATTATAATTTATAGCAATATGAGCTGCATTTTTAAGAATTTTAATTTTGCTGTTAAAATGTGCTGTTATGATAAATATGTATATAATTTAAACCTTTATGATCAATTAGACTAATATAAAGTATTTTTTTTTCAGAAGGAAGGTTTCTTTACAATAGAATGTATAGCATTATATATGTATAAGAAATCAATACAATAGGTAGAAGACGACAAGAATGTAATTTTGCTTCAATCAAAGCTTCTAAATAGTTCTTCCATCGCAAATTAGAAATACCAAAAGTTTATAAATGTTCTTTTTTTTCTGTCGTTGAAATTGTTAATTACAATTTTGCCACAGAAATTTCCAACATCAAAGATGCAGCTCATATTGCTTTAAGTTACTGGGAAAACAGTAGCTTTTAGCTGCCGATATTCAGTTTACTGTGGCTCAGTTAAGTCACAATATCCACAGCAACTTTTATCCTGAAAGGAAGAATATTAATAAAGGACTAACTGAATGTAATCTTGGTATGTGTGTGCCAAGAATTTCGATCAAAATTTAAGCAAAGAGACGGGCTTTATCATTAAGTCTATCATTAAACATTTAAATTTTGTGTAATATCCAATCTGAGTCCGCATGTAGCTTTCATTCGCATATTCATTGTACCTTCTCTCCGGTTGGAGAGGATCTTGCATTTTTGGTCGTTGTTTGCCACGATGAGTAATATTTTCACAAATCAATAAATAATTTATATTTAATAACGAAATAATTTATATTTTGCATGGTGCATAATTTTCATGTATGAGGGGTCATGTTTTTATACCCCACGCAACTAGTTGCGGGGGGTATAATGTTTTTGACCCGTCCGTCAATCAGTCAGTCAGTCCGTCTGTCCTGTTTTTTTTGTCAGCGCAACTCCTCCTAAACCGCTGCACAGAATTTCGACAAACTTTGCATATATTTAGGACACGATGTGTAGATGTGCATATTACCAGGAAATTCCAATTCCTTTTTTTTTCTGGGAAATTCGGCACTTTTCAACTTAGATTTTTGGCCATATCTTGAATATAGAGATGAACAGTTTGTCAGCGCAACTCCTACTAAACCGCTGCACAGAATTTCGTCAAACTTTGCAGATATTTAGGACACAATGTGTAGATGTGCATATTACCAGGAAATTCCGATTCCATTATTTTTTCTGGGAAATTCGGCACTTTCAACTTAGATTTTTGGTCATATCTTGAATATAGAGATGAACAGTTTGTCAGCACAACTCCTCCTAAACCGCTGAACAGAATTTCGTCAGACTTTGCAGATATTTAGGACACGATGTGTAGATGTGCATATTACCAGGAAATTCTGATTCCTTTATTTTTCTGGGAATTTCGGCACTTTTCAACTTAGATTTTTGGCCCTATCTTGAATATAGAGATGAACAGTTTGTCAGCGCAACTCCTCTTAAACCGCCACACAGAATTTCATCAAACTTTGCAGATATTTAGGACACAGTGTTTAGATGTGCATATTACCAGGAAATTCCGATTCCATTATTTTTGCCCTAAGAGTTTTGCCTATTATTGAAGAAACTTTCCAGCTAGGTAATAAGGATATCCACTGGAATCAGCCTTTGTAATGACATTTTATGTGAAATATTTTATGACCTTAAAAGACCCCTATTGATTTTGAGATCAAAATATTAATGATTTAACACACACACAAAATCTTGAATCTTGGATAGTCCCCCCCCCCCCCTCAAATTGGTGCTTTACCTTAAATAATTTCATAAGCACAGTATATAAACAAATTCATATGACTACATCATAATTTTGTTTCCATCAATTATTTAAAGGTGTAAGTTGTCATGTGTTGGACATGGACTTACACTCATTAACAAATCGAAATCACTGAGGAATTTAAATAACACTTTGTCAGCATAACTCCTGCACTGAATTTCCTGAAACTTTGTAGGTATTTCAGACATAATGTATAGATTTGTATATTACCAAGAAATTTTGATTCCATTATTTATCTAGAAACTTCAGCCCAATTAAATTTGTAACATACAATGATTTGAATGTCCTTGTATGCAAGAAGTTTTGATGTGATGATTTTTTGCAAGTAATGCCCCTTTTTGAATTATACTGTGTATTTAAAATGCACTGTGCCATTCACTATGTGTTACATTGTCGAGTTTTGGGGGAGCGTGGGGTATGTGAGCTTGCTCACTTTTTCTTTCATTGCTTTTGAAATTACAATACGAGTAGGCATTTAATGTGTTGTAAGCAGAGATTCAGATCAATCGTTATAAAGACTCGATATCACGAGTGGCATAACCTGACAGGCGGTCGCTGTGAATTATGTATATCATTATAGCGGGTATGCTGTAAGAGACTCGGAGAAATCCTTGGATTATCGGAACTGTTCCCGGATCAAAGGTCACCTGATCTATCGAAAATCACTCGCCGATGCCTCTGCGGTTCTGATGCACTATTATCGGTGAATTATTCAGAATGGCCATATGGCGTTTGCTTAATTAACGTAACTTTCAGGTTTTGTTGCGGTGAATTCCAATCAACAGGTTCTCTTGGGAAGAATAACTTAGAATGCACCCTCACCATGTACAACACATGAGACGTTAACCTTGATATATGTTTGATGTATTACTATAGTGAACATCAAAAACTTGTTTAAACTTAAAATTAATGTATTTGCAAACTACAATGCATTTACCCATTAACCCCCCCCCCCCCATCGCCCACACACAAAAATTAAATTTGTAAATGTCTCTGGCTTGAATTGAACTCATTAAGTGAGGAAAAAAAAAACGTTTGAAAGGACTCTGCATATTTTCTTGCTTTTAAATAAGACTATTGCCAGTCCTTTTTTCTAATATTGGAAATATGAATTTAAAGTCTGTTAAAATTACCACTTGTTTTGAGTGTATTTTATCTAAAACATACTCGGAATATTTGAAATATTCCACATCAAGACACGATTCGCATGATTGTTTACTTTCCCCTATAAAATATTCTCCAGAAGTAAATGAAATTCATCTCTGCAAAATTTGTGTATTTTATTAAGACGAGGACATTAAAGACAATAGCTTGAAGCTAATCATTAATGCAGTCGGCAAAATTTGCACACAGGAAATGGAATTAAAAGCACTAAACTATAAGCATTTGGAATAAGCCGAGGTCTTGATGTTGAGATCAGAAGTACACTGTCATTTGAAGCGTGACTCCCACTTAAATGAACTATTTCTGTGTATTTGCTCTGTCATTTTAAACTTATTTTCGTAATGAACTTAATCTCCTTTGACACAGCAGGAAAGAAGAAAATCAAGTCGTTATCAGACAAGACTTTCCAAATAAAGACTTGCTAATTTATAAGCAATATTTTTTTCAGGTAATGGAAGTATTTTTTCATGCAGGGATATTAATTATTGTGGATGATAAGCGAATACGATGAGATGTGTCAATTTAGAGGGTCCTATCTCATGATCTATTGTAGTATCGATTTTGAGCGTCAATACACGGTACCTTGCGCCACGGAGAGTAAGCCCAGTCGGAAAAGAGCGTCGGACGAGTAACATCAAATTACATACCACAAAACTCGAAGACCGCCGAGTGAGAATCTGTCCACAACTTGATGAACTTTTGTTTGATTTTATATGTGAGAAAATGACACTCAACAAAGTTAGCATTTCCCAGCAGTAAGTGTATAAGATAAGAGGTTTGAGAGGAACTTTTACGATGGGTTTCAGTACACATCGTTTTATTGGGTCGGTGGACCCCAATTTAATATGTGGAATATGCAGTTCTGTAATAGAGGATGCTGTGTTGACGCCTTGTGGACATACTTTTTGCTTCTGTTGCCTCGAGACTTGGATGAGTAAACCGCGAGTGAATTCGTGTCCTGAGTGCAGAAGCACTATGGTTCTGCAGGACGTAAAACCGGTACTATGTCTTCGCAATCTTGTGAATGGTTTTGATGTCATGTGTGATAACAGCGAACGTGGATGCAAGTTAATTGTAAAATTAGAACGGTTGAAATCACATTTAAAAGTATGTGGATATACACCTGTAAAGTGCGCAGGGTGTTCCGAGATGGTGAGTCGGTCAGAACTTGCGAACCATCAATTGACCTGCGAGGGAATTTCAGCTTCTTTGAAGGATGAAAACTACGATTCTTACATGCAAAAATCTTTAGCGGCAATATCACTAGAAAATGAAGCTACCTCTTTGGAACTTTCGGGACTTCTTGCAAAGATTTCGTCTTTGGAATTTCAGTTGAAGTCTTTGAAAAGAGATATGCAAATCTCCGAGTCCAAAAACCGTGTCCTTGAAAGAGAGTACAGGAAAACTAAGGACGAGCTACAGCAGAAGCGAAACGAAATTCTCGAAGTCCAGTATTCCGAGTTTGACCCGGACTATGACTATGGTTACACTCCGCAAACAGTAGCCAAATTGTCTTTACTCATCGCTAGATTTCTGCTGAAGAAACCGTCGTATGTGGACAGCGACAAAATTTTTGCGGCTGTCAAACGTTCATACGAGCAGTACGCACGCTGTGGAAACCAGTATGAACACGATGTCCACATGCTTGTTGCCACGGCATTTGCAAGCAATTGGTTCAGCGAAAGTCAGAGAATCAACTTTCATTGCTGGCTTCAGAGTCTTGCTAGATATCGTCAATATGCTAACACGGGGATAGACTCGTGTGAACATCATATATACCAATGAAATGATGTCTGAACGTAAACAATTATGATTGCAAACCGGTAGGACATTGACTTGGACCTTGGCTCAAGGTGCTTGTGGACAGGAGCAGCCCCCCCCCCCCCCTACTTTCTACAATATACACCCCGAGTCTACGGATATTTATTTAATTGTCTTCTTTCATAAATTTTTCTTCTAGCACACATTTACAATGTTTTTCACATGGAAATTTATTTTTAAAAAAATCATACCCGCTGTATTACAAAATAGAGAAGGTAAGTCACCTCGGTTTGTATACATTGGACCCCTTTTGGATATCAAGTCTAAAATACGCAATGTATTGTAAAGTAAATGTGTGCCAGATGAATAATTTAAGAAAGAAGACAGATTAAAATATCCTTGGACCCGGGTTGTATATTAATTGGGGGGGGGGGGTCCTGTCCACAAGCACCTGTGTCTTGGCTTGGTAGCAAATGTTCAGACACGAGCTTGAAATTTTGTTTTTATATGCATTGAATTAACCATTGAGAATTTCAAAGTTGTTATAAACAATTAAAATCGAGGAAACGTTTCAGTTTTTTATTCCTTTGAGACCCGAATACGTGTTGTGAATAAATGATTTTTCCTGGTATGGAGTTAATGACGGTAATTGGGGGCTTTATGTCTTAGATTTGAAAAAGTTCTGGTTCCCTGTATAGAAAGTATAGCCGTATTTTAAGTGTCGTCATCTCTAATTGTGAAGAACCTAGGATCACCGCTTGGTAAAGTAAAAAATTTAAATGCTTGACTTCCTACTTAGATTACAGTAGACTTTGCGAGTCATTTAAATCTTGCTCTGATTATCATTTGTTCAAGTATTAACTTAGAAATAGGAACATTATATAATGTTTTTAGGAGGAATTTATGTATTGTATATGTAAAAATATGTAGTTTTAAAGAAAAGTTCCTTAGATTTCGGAATAACAAGCTTTAAAGATAAGGCAATGTTTTACAAAGTCATTATGAAATCCACATGCATGTATAAAAGTTTTTTTCCTTTTCAAACTTATGTGTTTTTTCTGTTTACTGCAATCTATATAAAGTATTTTTTTAAGCAGACAAAGCTCTCGAGATTCGGTTACCCTTCATGTGTAGTTCACTGTTTGTGTATTCCAGAAATCGGTAATAAACCATTAATTTGACAATGTTTCCTATTTTATTGTTTGCGTTTACTTCCTGGCGCTGTGTTACTAACAATTATCCTAGGATCAATAGACCATATCTCACAGCAATATCTATCGGCACTCTACTGTAGAAGGCTTATTTCCTGCTATTATTATTTCATAAAATGATAAAACTGAGAAAGAAATGTTATCAAATAAAACTCTCTTTGTAATGAATACAGACTGGAATATTTTATTGAATTTTTTAACCGGTAGAAAAGGCATTTCTTATTCCAGTTTAGACTAAGTTCTTCAGGGTGTTGGATACTGAAGGTTTTATTGAGTAGAAATAAACTGATATCTAAAGGTTTGATTGCAGTTTAGAGTACCGAGTGCAAAGAAATAATTATAGGCAGAGGTCTGCTGGGAGAAGTAATCATCCTTTGAAGAGTCAGTTTATAAAGTGTGGCCTGATGAGTGGATCAAGCAGTCGGAATATCAAGGGCAATAAATATTCATCTTTACACATTAGGAAAATTGACTGTATCTTTGGTCAGGAAGTTGGAATTTTAATTTTTAACATATCCGTGAAAATATTTGAAAACTGTTACATGTATTAGCAGATTCAAAAATATTTAGAGTACCCAAAGTGCAAATTTAAAAGAAGATAATTAGGTAGTACATTTAGATAGTGCATTTAATTAACAAGCTTTCAAATGATATATACTTTTTGTGTTATCTTTGATAACAGGAATTACACGCTATATGAATTCGGACCATAGGAAACCTTTATGTATCCTTAAGAATGTACATCCCTCAGCGAAGTACAGCTAGTAACTCAAAATCGTGATATTAATAAAACTAAGAATTAGGGTCTTTTTGAGCAATAATTAACTTTCATTTTTACATTTATGCTTCTATGCACAATTGCAATATTTTTCAACACTTAGGTGATTAGCTATTACAATTACCTATTACACGTGGCAAAGATCGAAGATTCATATAAATGTATATAAAAAACAAAATACATAGATTTGCCATTAAATGAAGTGTAAATAAGCCACTTAGCAAAATAAGTCAAGTTTTCTGTTTTTCAAATAGGGAATCCCCATTGTTCTGAAAAATTGCCTTCTTGAAACAGAATGAATTTGATATACGCATAAAGAGACAGGATTTTTCTTCAAAACTGCCGTTTCCGATTTTTGTTTCAAAGAGGCATATTTTTGAAAATCACAAAAATCGAATAAAATTATTATCAATCCGAAATGGAAAATGTGCACATGAAATAGCACATGATATTTCAGTGTCGGAGCTGGTCTAGTGGTAAAGCGTGTGAGCTCTTCGCGAAGATTCTTTTTACCTGAGAATGGGTTCGAATCCTGGAATGGCTGGTATATACATATTTTTCTTCTTAAATAATGGAAGTACAATGTAACATCTCTCTTGAGAGAGAAAGAGAGAGAGAGGGAGATATGTCGTAAAGTTAATGAGTAAATGCATGCAGAATTAAATTGCTTTCCTTGATATTGTGATCTAAATCAAATATGACATACATTTAGTGGCGATGTCTTAAAATATAAAGTACTATCATTTTAAATAATTTAATTTTTTCATACTTATTTCGTTTCATTATTGTTCTGTTAATTAGTTGCTCAGATTTGACTTGAAACAACTAAATTGAAATGACTCAATGGATTTTTTTTGGATATTGCATCAACAGCGTGATTATTGGACACATTTTTATATACATATGAATAAATATTAACGCATGCTGTCTATAGCAGATCTTTCAAAATGATGTGCGAGATGCACTTGCCATTAATTGTGCATTTTATCGTTCTAACTTTTCACGTGCAATATAGCGATAGTGACCATAGATGTGAAAAAAAGTTTACTATCAGGTTGCCAGTCTATAGGATAGGATATTTTTTATTTAAAGTCGGATAAATCAACAAGATAGGAAAAACTATGCATGAAATCGTAAAACAACGTTATAACAAGCTGGACATACCCTCCGTATAAATAAAGCCATCTACGTAGCATTATCTACTAGTATATTTAGAGATAACTTTTCATGCGTCGTGGGTATTTAAATGTCCTTCTCGATATAGGGAATAATCACAAGTTTCTGCAACACCCTCTTTTACAAAAGTGGGTCAAACACCAAGGTCAAGGTCAAGAGGTCAAATACACTGTATGATGGTACCCAAAGAAAGATCCTGTCACAAGGAATACACAAGTGAAATATGAAAGTCATAGCTCCCACCAATCAAAAGTTCTGGGCAAGGTTAAAGTTTTTGCGGACAAACAGACAGACAGACGGACGGACAAGGCAAAAACTATATTCCCCCGAATCTTCGATACGAGGGCATAAAAATTACTATAGCAAAATACATACTCAAGAAAAAGTAGCGTTGAACGCGTGGGGGGGGGGGGCGTGCCAGGTTAATGTTTTTTGAGCAGGTAAAAGTTTTTAGAACAGGTCTCATTTCCAGGTCGCCCGCCTGGCGCAGTGGTTAGAGCGTCTGCTCTAGAGTCGCGAGGTAAGGAGTTGATCCTTACGTCGCGGGTTCGAATCCCACTGTGGGACGTGGAGACCGGTCCTTCGGATGAGACCATATAAACCGAGGTCCCGTGTCGCAGTAGGTGTTGGCACGAAAAAGACCCCTCACTGCTCAATGGCCGTAAGTGCCGAGCATAGGACAAAATTTGCAGCTCTCCACCGGCAAGTGGTGGCGTCTCCATATGAGTGAAAAATTCTCGAGAGGGACGTTAAACAACAAAAAACAAACAAACAAACATTTCCAGGTAACTACGTTTAAGTCTTATATCGACCAAACTTGCATCGATGATACATTGGATCAGATTTATGATATTACTACGTAACGGATATTCAAAGTTTATTCCATAACTTTTTTAATGCGTTATCTAAAGCATTTCTAAGCGTGGAGTTTTTATTGTATAGTCTTTTGATCCATCCGACTTTTACGCTTTTAAGTTTGTATTTGATATCGATTAAACCAAGACCACCATCATTTATTGGCCTTATGAGTGCATTGCGTTTAATTCTCTCTCTCTTATTCCATAAAAATTGTATATAATATGATGTATGGCGTTGATTCCCATTTATCAGCTAGTTTATGCTTTCCATCAAAATCTGTAATCTTTACCAGAACTTAAAATACCAGATCTAACTTTTAAATCGTAGTTACGCTTAGAACTGTCTTTCGTGAGGGTTTTGGTTTGCTGCTGTTGCTAATTGATAAGCTTCTTTTAAATTAGTTTTTAATAATTCTACATATTTGGAATAAGAAGAAGAAGATGTTGGGATGTTGAAAGCAATATCTATTGGTAATCTGCCAAACATTAAGAAAAAAACGGTGAATGTTGACTTGATTCTTGCTTCATACAGTTTTTGGCATGGACTAATGGTCTGATCTGGGATTTCCAGTCTGCCTTTTGGTCAATGTTCAAAGTCCTTAACATTTGCAGAAGTGCCCTTTTAAACCTTTCACAGAGTCCATTACCCATTGGTTTTGGTAAGGTGTATAGTTCTGGACTCCTGGATGTTCATAATATTATTACATAGTTCTTCAATCACTTTTCCTTCAAACGGCGCTCCTTGATCACTGTGAATTTTCTGTGGAATTTCGTATTGATATAAAAATTGTCTAAATTGATCATGATTAATAGGTGTTGGGCAGTATTTAACTTTCTGTATCTTTTCTGGGTCAGGTTCAATTCTATTTTCTGAAGCAATATGCCCAACATATTTGACTTTTTTTCTTGCAGAATCACATCTGTTTGGAGATAATTTCAAGTTGATCTGTCGGAACTTCTGAAATATTTGTTTTAGTCCTTCAAGATGCTCTTCAAATGTGTTGGAAAATACGTATTATAATGATATCCAGATAGATATAGCAAATTTTGAGATGCAGTCTATCAAATGCTTCCTCCATGAATCTTTGGTAAGTTGCCGGAGCATTACAGAGACCGAATGGCATCTGCGGATAAACTCATAAAAACCAAGGGGATCGACTGTGAAAGCTGTCCACTCCTTGTGTTTCTCAAAGACCTCTTTCTGGTGATAGCCACTCTACATATCTAGTATGGTAAAGAACTTGTTGTTAGAGAGCTTCTAAGATTTCATCAGTCCTTGGTAACGCATAGGAATCCTTTATAGTTCTGTTATTCAATTCTCTATAGTCGATGCACATTCTTTAAGATTTTCCTTTCTGTCTGCATAGTATTACATTGCTTGACCAAGGTGATTTGGAATTCCTGGTGAGTCCTGCATCTATCAGACTTTGGAGATGGTTTTTAACTTCTATGTTCATACTCGGTGGAATTTTCCTGGATTTTTGTTTGAAAGATGTTTCATCAATCAATTTCTATCTTATGCTGAACTATTACGGAATTCCAATGTGTGTGTCTGATGATGAAAGTACATCTAAGTACTTCTGGAGAACTTCTATGATGTTGTTGAGCTGTCATCTATGTAAACGATTTCAAGTTGTTGTTAGAGTTGTCTCCCTTAGAATTTGTGATTTTTTTTTTTATGTTGACAAGATGTAATTCACACAATATGGCCTTTGGAGAATTGGTAACAGTCCCTGTTTTAATTAAATAATAATTATAATTTTGGATAGGAATAAGACCACACAGTTGTTGGCACTCCAAAAGAAATGAATGCATCTCATTCTCTGGAGGAAGACCTTTGTTCAAAGGTAGGTCAAACTCAAAGGTCAAGGGATAAAAAAGTAAAAACTGTTGGTACCCAAGGGAAGGTCTTGTCACAAGAAATTCACCTGTGAAATATGAAAGCCCTAGGTAGCACTAACAGTTCATAAGATGTGGCCATGGTGCAAGTTCTCATAAAAGTGGGTAAAACTACAAGGTCAAGGTCAAAGAATCATGAAAGCACTATAGTTCTAACTATTCAAGGTCTTCTCACAGGAAATACGCGTCATGTGAAGTACAATAAGAAAGCCCTAGCGCAAACTGTTCAAAAGTTATGGCCAAGGTTGAAGTTTGGTAAAATTTTGCAAAAGTGGGTCAAACTCCAAGGTCAAGGTAAAGAGGTCAAATGTGTTGGTACCCAAGGAAAGGTCTTATCACAACAAATATGAAATAAGAAAGACATAGCTCCAACCAATAAAAAATTATGGGCAAGGTTAAAGTTTTTGCGGACAGACACGTACTGAGACAGCTAGACAGACAGACAGACAGACAGGGCAAAAACTATTTTCGAATACGGGGGCATGAAAACTGTTCCATAAAACTTCTTACACTTCAGAAGCTCCGGTGGCTTCGTCTCCCCCCCCCCCCCCCCCCAGTCCACCCAAAACCCCTTTCAAGAATCCTGGATCCGCCACTGACACATACAATGTGTGTAAGAGGAACGAACGACAACTCTACAAGAGAGATGTGTTTGTCTTTTTAGATCGGGATCGGGTTTAGCGCAGCAAGAGTTACTGTTAATTCTAGAAAATTCGCTCTTCTGTGGCGCTGCTACCCGTTCCGGTAAAAAAAAAAACAACAACGTGAGAACTGAACTTAGGCTAATTGTATTCGGCCCGTCTTAGAAGATATAATTGAGAATATTTAACAAGTTAACACACAGAAATCGTCGACAGGTATGGCGAAGTGGGGAGAAGGGGATCCTCGCTGGATTGTAGAGGAGAGACCCGATGGAACTAACGTAAACAATTGGCACTGGTAAGGAAAGCAGGCTGTTGACGAGCACACGGTATGGCATGTCAAACGTTGCAATATTTGCATTGTAGAAAAATTTATTTCTATTGTATGACTTTTCCATATTTTCCATTTGTATTGTATAATTTTCCAGCTGTATTCTAATTTTTCCATTTGTATTGTAAAAAAAGAATTCATTAGGCCTATTTTGATTTTTTTTAATTTGTATTCTATATTTTCCATTTGTAAAATATTTTATTTGTATTGTATAATTTTTCAATATTTTTTATTTGTATTGTGAAATTTCCATTTGTATTGTAAAATATTTTATTTGTATTGTATAATTTCTTATTTGTATTCTTATTTGTAGTATTAGGCCTAATTTGTGTTGTGTCTTTGTAAACGGAATGATATAAGCAAGTTTGATTATACTGGATATGGCAAGAGCTACTGTTCTTGCGCATTGCATGATGGGACGGAAAGCCCTCATTTGAGGGTATACCCCCCGTTTTGGGGTTCGACCAGACTGATCTGAGGGATTGTTTATTTGTTTCATTGCAAATGATTTAATGCTCAATGCAAACTGGGCTTTTTGTTTGCATGTTAGGGGAGCACCATAATTTGATTTTGAAAGGGGGCCTGGCAAATTTATTATATCAGATTATTTATTTTCATGCTGTCACACTCCAGAAAATAGCCAATGACAGACAAGAATGGAGATTCCTTGTTTATAACAGCCCGGTATTCCAAAGGCATCACGGGCAGTGAGTCTGTGGTGCGCATGCGCGAAAGTAGTAGACGTATATATCTTTGATCCTGAAATTTTTACGAACTTATCGATAAATATAAGCCAAACACGACACAAATCACAGAAAAACTGAAGTAATACCAACAATCAACGTACGACTTGATCCTGTTACCAACAAGTACACCATTGTAAGATCTCATTCATATAATGTGAAATACTACAGTGAGCTGTGAGTATTAGTCAGCTTTCCGTCAAAATGGTGCTAGCCTCTTGCTTTAGCCACCCAGTTCTCGACTGACCATCATAACTGTATGTATATCTATACCACAATGTTCCTTCTATCATTATTATTTGTGATATCATGCCTTGTAAATCTTTTCCATACACAACCAGAATTTCCTCTGACTAATCAAAATCAAGATGTAACTGTGAAAGTGCAGACTTTAAACTTCACAATTCTCAGACAAGTGATTAGGAAGAGTGTACTAAAGGACCACAAGAGCCCAAAGTCCTTGTTATTATTCCTTATCCCCATCCTTATTGCAAGATCAAATGATGTTGAGAGTAACCCTGGACCTGCTGATTCCTCATACCCATGTGGAACTTGTGACCTTCCAGTTACATGGGACGATAAGGGTATTATGTGCGAAACATGCAATCAGTGGTACCATGCTAACTGTCAGTCTGTTCATAGTAAGACATATAATGAACTTGTAAACAACAGTGCCATTGCTTGGGATTGTATCATATGCGACTGTCCTAATTACAGCTCAGTCTGCTTTGAGCAAGTAGTCTTAACTTCAAACCCCTTTAGTGTGTTATCAGACTCTACCATTGCTAGTCCAGTACCAAATACAACCATTGTGCCAGTTCTTACCTCCACACCAACTAGGAAACATCAACCTAGACCAAAAACATCTCCTATAAAGCTACTCAATGTAAACTGCCAGTCGATCAAGACCAAACAATGCCGTATTAAAAACCTCATCGAAAGCACCAAACCTGACATTGTTGTGTGTACTGAGACCTGGACAGATCCATCAATTACTGACAACCAAATTTTCCCAACAGATTACAAACTGTATCGTAAAGACCGTGCCTCTACTGGAGGAGGAGTGCTCATTGCAGTTAACAAAAACTACCTGAGTTCACCAGTCCCTGAGCTAGACTCAAACTGTGAAATCATCTGGACGAAGATCAGTCTAGTTGGACGGAAAGATCTATACATCGCATCATATTATAACCCTAAAACAGCTAATGAAGAATCCCTAGATGAACTGAGTAAAAGTCTAAATCGTGTATACCAGATAAGAAATGCAAGTGTAATTGTTGCAGGTGATTTCAACCTACCTGGATGGAACTGGGCTAACAAGACACTAAAGCCAAATACTCCCTGGCCAAGTAACCACTACAAATTTGTAGATATGCTGGATGACAATGGCTTAGTTCAGCTAGTAGAATGCCCAACAAGAGGTGATAACACCCTAGACTTAATACTGACCAATAATCCATCAAAATTTAACAGAGTAGAAACCATTCCAGGCATCTCGGACCATGACATTGTCTTTGCTGAAATAGATACCAACATCTTAAAGAAACCCCAAAAGCCACGAAGAATCCCCTTATATCGTAAAGCCAGCTGGGATTCAATGAAAGAAGATATGACATCAACTCTTAACACAATAATAGAGATGGATGATGATAGTCATAGTGTAGATGAAATGTGGGAGTGCTTTAAAACCAACCTGGAAAAAAGTATAGAACAAAATATACCACATAAAGATGCCAGAACCAAAGATGGTCTACCATGGATAACACCAGAACTCAAGAAACTCATCCATAAGAGAAATAGACTATACAAAAAGAAGAAAAAATCTGGAGATAATAGAGATAAAGAACACTTTAAAGAAATTAAGGGGAAGGTACAAAGAGGGCTAAGAAGAGCATACTGGAACTACATCGAGGGAATAGTAACACCTAAAGTAGAAAATGACCAATATAGTGGCCTAAAACGCTTTTGGACATATATAAAACATCAAAGAACTGACAACAATGGAATTTCACTGATACGCAGTGAAGGAGTGCTACATGCCAATCCCACTGACCAGGCAGATGTTCTGAACAAACAGTTCCAGTCAGTATTCTCAGAGAAGACACAAATCAGTACTGAAGAATTCATGCGCGACTGTCCTATGAGTGGAAAATACCCAGTTGCTCCAGATCTGCACATCACCCATAATGGAATTCTAAGACTAATGAAAAATCTGAATCCATATAAAGCAGCGGGTCCAGACGGGATTAAACCAAGAGTGCTGAAGGAGTTGGCTGACAGTGTATCCCCCATCCTCACCATCATCTTCAGGAAATCTTTACAAAGTGGAGAGGTTCCATCTGAGTGGCGTAAAGCACATGTCAGTCCAATTTTTAAAAAGGGTGACAGATACAAGGCCGAGAACTATCGACCCATTTCCCTTACATGTATCTGCTGCAAGCTTATGGAACACATTGTCACCAGCCATATCATGCAGCATGCCGACCAAAACAACATACTGTACCCACTCCAGCATGGTTTCCGTAGCAAAAGATCCTGTGAAACCCAACTCATTGAGTTTATAGATGACATAACCACCTACATGGCTGCTGGAAAGCAGACAGATGTATTGATTATGGATTTTTCTAAGGCTTTTGATAAAGTTAGCCATAGCCTCCTCATCCATAAACTCCGACATTATGGGATCCAGGGCAACGTGAACAACTGGATTTCTAGCTTTCTATCTAACAGAACACAAGCAGTAGTTGTTGATGGAGAAATGTCCAGCTATGTTAGTGTCGAGACTGGCGTGCCCCAAGGGTCAGTCCTTGGGCCATGCTTATTCCTTTTCTATATAAATGACATGCCAGAAGGCCTCAATGCCAAGGTAAGACTATTTGCTGATGACACTATTGCTTATCTTACTGTCACATCAGAATTGGACACCCAGACACTCCAGGCCGACCTAGATAAATTGGGTATGTGGGAAAGGAGGTGGAAAATGGAATTCCACCCAGACAAGTGTAATGTACTATCGGTCAGCAGGAAGTCCAACCCGATACATCATCAATATAGGCTACATGGCCATACTCTCGAGCACGTAAAGAGGGCGAAATACCTTGGCTGTCTAATAACATCTGACCTGAAATGGAGTGACCACATAAATAACATCTGTGGTAAAGGAAATAAGACCTTGGGATTCCTCCGTCGTAACTTGAACATCAGTTCAACCTCAATAAAGGAGAGTGCATACAAATCGTTAGTCAGACCACTGTTGGAGTACACAGCACCTGTCTGGGACCCCTACACCCAGAAAGACATCCATAATCTAGAAATGGTACAACGACGTGCTGCAAGATACGTAAGCAACAGGCATGGCAACAGATCGAGTGTAGACAGCATGATTCAACACCTACAATGGCAGTCACTTGAAGAACGTAGGCGAATATCCAGACTCGTCCTATTCTATAAAATTGTTCATGACGAAGTTGCCATCACCAAGTGCCATCGACTCATTCCATCACTACGTCGATCACGACATACTCATCATAAAGCCTACCAAATACCATCCTGTAAGAGCGATTATCGAAAGTATTCCTATTTCCCTCGTACTATCCAAGAGTGGAATAAACTACCATCAGGAATAGTCTCGGCGAATACACCAGAGACCTTTAGGTCTCAGGTGATCGCCTACCAGCCATAAATAAGAAATATTATTTTAATCTTTTAACCTTTTAAAATTTTAATTCTGATCATATCATGCGCACCACATTTGCCAAAATAATCAGCTTGTTGATTGTGGGCATTACCTGGCAGAAGCAGAAGAAGAAGAGTCTCACAGGACAATATTTCTTTCCAAGATGACCAGGGATGGGTTATTTATTATCTTTCCAGGAAAAAGTTCCCCAAAAAAAGACGGAGAAAATCTGTCAAAATCTGAAAACTTCATTTTCCGGGGAAGGGGGTACGTACCACCAAAAAAAGGACAGATTATTTATTTTCTTCTTGGTGGAGGACCTGTTATCTATTTATTTTCAACATTTCTGAGGACAGATTATTAATATTTCTAAAATCTGCCATCCCATCTCCCCCCTTTCAGAATCCAAACATGCAAGCAAATAGGCGCCCACTTTGCTTTGAGAATCCAGAACATTTCATTCGTTTTCAACATGATACAGGCTTAAAAGCTTTACCAATGAAATCATTTGTAATGAAACAAATAAACTATCCCTTGGATACATTACAAATGAAAAATTATCACAAAGAAATAAGAAATTATACAATACAAATTTTAAAAAATTACAATACAAATAGAAAATATAGAATACAAATGAAAAATTGTAAAATAAAAATGGAAAATGTAGAATACAAATAAAATAAAACAGAGAGTTCAAAGGAACACTTGTGTCGCCTGCTTTATAGCATCATTTAAGATGCATATAAATCTTTAGTGGTCAGCTTTTTATTTGTTACTAGCATAATAGAAAATTCCACAGATAATAAGACTGTGATAGAATCAGAAATATGATTCCCCCACCCTCTAAGCTAAAATGAATAATGATATATTTAAGGAATAACTGTCTAATTTTTTGGATTCATGATGTGATCAATCGAGTGGCTTGCGTGATAATTTGCATAAACGCCTTCGGCGTTTATGCATAAAATTATCACGCAAGCCAATCGATTGATCATCGTCATGAATCCAAAAAATCTGACAGTTATTCCTTATATTTACATGCTCCTGATTCTGCAAATTCCCGTGCTAATAGCCCCGCTTCTGTCTCTGTTTGTCCCGCCCCGCACGTGATTTTTTTTTTTACCGCGCCTATCGATGAACCAGTAGATTTATGTAGAAATAAAGTATTTTTACAATTTGTAATTTTATCTCGGACAAAGACATTGGAAATGTAAATATATTGTAATCATTAGAAGTAACTATAATATTGATCACTTTATTATGAATTTAATCCAACAATCTTCCAAAAGAGATTTCAGACTGTCTTTACTGCAATTTTGAATCTACAACAATCCATTTTGGTAAAAACTAATTTATTTTCATAAAAGTTAAATTTCAGTTTGTATAGTTACTGTTTATCATACAGTTTCAAAGTACATGTCATAACTTATGAGCTCATAAACATTATATAAATGCTTATTATCAAACCACTGCCTCTAAAAATGCAAAATACTTAAATTAACTGTACAGAGTATTTTTGATAAGTAGCTAAAGGGTCAAGGTCAAGCGATCTAAGATGCTGATTTTTTTTTATATTTTATGAAAAACTGTGGACATGATGTCAAAAATATGCAGTTAGCTGTATATTGACAGCATGATTGATTTTGAAAAGTAGGTCAAATATCAAGGATCACGAGATTGGTAACCATGGTAATTTACAAAAGCCATAGCACCAAGCAATATTTGTGCAAAAAACAAATCCATTTCTCTAACAGTTCTCAAGGTGTAAGGTGTGACAGACAGACAGTCAGCTAGACAAATGGACAGACAAAAGCAGGGTAATTTTTAAAGTGATTAAGTGATGTTCTGCTCTACAGGTGACACAAGTACTAATCAGACTTTTTACAAACAGATGGGGAAAATAGAATACAAATGGGAAATTTTAAAATACAAATGGAAAGTATATGCAATATGCAATTCAAATGAGAATTTTTTTACAATTCAAATGGAAGAGATCAAATACCGTATAGTGGGTTTTCTTGGCGGATGTAAAATTTGGCTTTTTGGTTGCTCATGTATGA